GCAATATTTTACAGCGAACCATCATTAATCTAATATGGAAATGATTACAGTATTTTCGTAGACATTATTCGCATCACTCAAAGTACAATGAACTAAGCATATCCTAATATATAATTTACAATTCTATTTCTACCTCTAACCATATTGGTAGCTCGATATCTTACTGTGCAGTATCTACAGTATATAGTCATCTGTACTCTGGCATAGAGTTTATCCTTATAGTCTACAGTATAATTATGGGCTAGCTAATATATACATATATATCATAAGATAAATACAGAAAACATAATACCGTATAGATATCATACTAAACATGGCTAATAGTCTACAATCACAATACTAAGTTACTAAGTTATTTTACAGTATGGTTTGCATGAAATTGGGTACTACGTTGCTTAATATAAATATAACTTTAAGTAATAACTTAGAAATTAAAATAAAGCATTATGAAGAGAATTGTGTGTACTTTCTCTACTGTGCCTTTAAAAGACATTCGGTTAGGATTAAATAGCGATGATAAAGGACTAGCTATCAGTATGATGAAATTGATGACTTAAAAATGATCTTCGCTGTAGGTATGGCCGCCGGATAAAAAAAAGCAGAATTTAAGCGAAAACTAGTTGTTACTATTCCAATACTTACTGTAGAATGGTTTTAACTCATGGACAATATGCTGTACAATTTAATTAGGAAAATGATGTTAGGACTGTAATGAAATGAAAGGTGTAGAGATCTAGCTACAAAACTTTAACAAATTTTGATTCTACTTTCGTTACACTCCGATCGACTTAACGAAACTTTGACACCGAATAAAAATCTGAGGAAATAGTCGATCAACAATTTATTACAAAAAAAAGGAGAAGTATAAACCGAAAAACCTTACAAATACTTAACTTTAAGTATTAATAAAATAAGTGACAGACTTAAAAACTGTCAACAACCAAACGACCTTTCAAAAAGAAGAACGTTTTAACTTACGACAAATCGACCCTGAAGGCCTTTTAAATTTAACAATTTCTTCAAAAGAATCTTCTTCTACTCTCCCTCTAAATTTTCTAATTGCACTATCATTTATAGCGTTCGTAGAGCCGTCAGAGGTATTTAAAACTAAACATTTACTAACCAATCGCTCTTAAGATCCATTTTAGAAAACTACTTTGCCCCATTTAAGAAAACAAAAATCACTCAAAGTTCAGATACAATTTACCCTTTTATTCTCTTACAAAACACTATAAAACCAACAAGTTAACTATAAAATATATCAAACTTCACTTCTAACATAATTTCTATCATTAATACATTATAAAAGTCTAAAAATTAACCTTTAAACATCAAGATTTAGTCATAAAAATAGCAGTCTAACTACTTGACAATCAACACAACCTCTGCCAATTTCCATCTTATTTTCTATTTTCCTAACTATACTTTCCTAATGTGGCTTTCATGTCACGTCATAAAATTCCAAAGTTTCAAATTCATAACAAAAAGTTCAAATTTCAAAAATTAACTCTTACGATATTTTCTATAAACTAAAATCCAAAAATTAACAAAAATTATATCGGACATAAATCCGACAGGTTCCGGAATCCGAATCCGAAAAACCCGGATTTTATAAAGATCACAGTAATCGCTTATCAAGAAATTTTATATGACTACTGCGACTACTTTTCTGACATTAGCATCGCTTAGTATTGACAGTTGATATTTTAGCGTCAAGTTGTAAGGTAACTGTACGATTATAGACTACATTACAGTACTTTACTGTCATGTTATAAATCCCCTTTTACTATGGATAGGGTTTTGTTACTAAGTCAAATTCATTTACAATTTGAATAGACGATCAAATGCTCTTTCTTTAGATTAGGCAATTGCTCTAGGGCTACTTCTATAGTAATCTATATAATACTTTGTAAAATAATGAAGAAGAAAAGATGGCGACATGATGATTTGGCAGGGTAAAACTTAAAGACACTATCACTTTATAGGTATTTTCTATAGTAAAATAATACTAGTTACATACTAAAAGCTATAAAGGACTCCAATTTTAGTCCTTTACTACACGACAATCCTACGCAAACTATGTCCGCTATAGTATGAGATATTTGAAGTTCTTGACGCACTTTCTATCATCAGAGAAGTTATCATACGTTGTAATTTAAACTTTTTAACCTGGGTTTTATGATGATAATTCGAGATTTCATTCAAAAAAGTTCGCAGTTATTGTAGAATAAATCAGGATATGACTTAGCCAATCTAAAAGATGAAATTTAGTATAGATATAAGTATTTGATTGATTAGCCTTCCAACGAATGTCTTGGGTCAAATTATAAAGGTGGAAGGGGTGAATGGCAGAAAAATTGAGGCTATGACATTTGTTCAGATTTGTTGTTCTTTTCATAACTAGAAGCAATGGTGGAAATTAAACTGCTATTAATTAACTACTCAACATCTTCACTATAATAACAGTCTTTTACTTTATTAACAGGTGTAACAGCGAGTTCTACTGCGATATCGGCAGGAATATCAACATCTACTACTACTGGAGCTAACAACGTTTCTGGTGTACCAATAACGGTAGATCCTGAATCATCACCTGACCATCCAGTTATCGGTTTTCAAGACAATTCCTCTGGTCAAGGTAATTTTATGAAGGAACTGAGTTTAGATACTTTACCTCATCCCGAATCGGATCGAGCACCAGTTGAAGCCCTGCATCGGTATGTATGTACTCATATGTATATTTTATAGCGCCATAATTTACCGACTTGATTTTCTGTTTTAAGTCAGATACTTATAACAAGTTGCATGACAAATTTATTCTCCGACACACTGCATTCCGATTGAAATTACGATGATACGATTTTTTAGTTATCATCCTTGAGATTTCTACCTTTTAGAGTTGCATACAATGGAATCAAAGTAGCTTTCATGTATAGGAATCAATAAGTAAAATATATTTCCCATGATATAGCTAGATTACACGGAAATTATGTAAAAAGAGCAGTGGAGTTCATATCACAACTTAAATAATATATCTATTCTATTTACAACGAAGCAGCTTTTGATCGTTTCAATTTTAATGGCTGTCTACATCGCTTATAAGCATCAATTAATATATCCAATATTGCTATAATTTTGCTTTGGGGAAAATGAGTTTATGTCTTCCAAAATCAACTGATCAACAAACAACGATTAAATAATTCTTTTTATTGCATTGAAGCCTTGTTCTCTAGTATAAACACATGTAATATCTGAATTCGTATTTGCCTTGTACTTCAGAAATTCGACGTAAAATTCTTGAATTGGTAGTGGTTTTTGAATACTTTAGAATCGTACAAATCACTCAAATATTTTCTGCATTTAAAATTGCGATAAATTTTATTCCATCAACTGATGGTTCAAGTGCAATAAAGTGTTGCAACTACAACAGGAGTTTAGAGCTATAATTTTAGATTTATTTCTAGCAGAATTTGTTATGGTTGTGTTAATCTTGGTAGTTTATTCGACAGTAAAAAGAATAGTTTAATCGACATTAGTTTTAAAACTAATATCAGAAATGAGTTGTTAGTTATATCATCCTTTAATTTACAACATTTAGATCAACGAATAGAACTAAGTGACGTCTTAGTCTCGAAACGAAAAAGCTCAAAACATACATTTCATAGTTGAGAAAGAATACTTTCGTTGATGATAATAACTTTGTATAGTGAATTGTATTTTACGAGCAATAGCGACTATAGCATCCATTCAATTGCCTTAGAATGATATGCAAATTGTTTTCTGGCACCCAAAAAACTTTTAAAATGCGTTCTTACCAATATACTTAAGGATATGGATAATCTCTACAATTAGTTTTAATACTTTATTCATATTCAAATTTTATTAGGCTAAGAAGAATCATTGGGCTAATAGACTGTGGAATGAAATTAAATTATAAAGATATTCGTGAGAATATCAATTATGTTATAGATGCCTTTGATGATTATGTTTTACAACGCCGCCGATTTAGCAAAATAGAGTAAGTACTATCAAACTAATTAGTATAGGCGTACTAAGCTTACTTTCATTAAGAACTGAAATTTAAATGCAGATATGGCATTATAATATCTTGCATACAAAAATTTTGTACTTTCTCTTCAGCCACTCCTAATACGCCGTAGCTAAGTATAGAGTAATTTTTAAATTTTTAGTAGTACTTATCAATTGAGCAGCTAAGCAGTATAGCTTGCTTTAGAATCGATTACTTTTATTATGCTGCACATAGAAGACACTAAAACTATCGCAATGCTATAATTACTACAGCGTAATAGGAGCAAAAGATCTTTAGCTTCAGTTTGCTGATTAGCTTAAGATCAAAGTTAATATATATAAATAGATAATGCTAGTCGAAATTAATATTATGATTGAAACATTAACATCACCTATATAGATGCTAATACATGATTGCCTTCTTTTCTTAGATATCCTGGCTTTGATGACACTACGACTAAGGGTATTATCAGTGACGAACCTGACGATGCCGAGATGAAAGTTAAAGAATGGATTGATGGTAGTATTGTAGTCCACGATGAAACTGAAAAAGAGGCTAACCGAGCTAAATTTTGCCGATTGATTAGCACAGTTCGGGTTAGCTTGTTAGTTGGCAAGTAAGTATTTTATTGTGCTATTTATAAGATATTCTTATGGCTATTGTGAATTTTGCTAGACTGTCGACTAGGAATTTAGCTATAAATAATTATCAATAATTAATTAATACTAATCGTTGCAGAGCTGCAAGAAATGGTTTTTCATTACAGTATACACCAGAAATAGAAGCGTTACTGCAGGTAAGAGTTAATAGCGATCGATGATTTGCTCTCTTTGGTAAAACATTGGTAGCATCCAACTATTTCACTGATATAATTTTCGCTAACGCCTTCAGTCTAACTTCACTTGCTCATATTAGCGACAGAAATTCATTTCAGCACTTGCTAATTATGCATTAATATTATGATGTTTAGCAAACCGATCAGTGGACATTCGATAACTTCTACCTCAGCGATATTACTAAAGGACAGCCGCTACGATATATGGGATACGAACTATTTCATAAGAATTGCAATTTACTGAACAAATTTGACGTAAGTATATTTAAGAAAGTTGATTTAGATATATATACTTGGCTACAACTAACTGATCAGTTACTATCCAGCTATACCCTTGAAGTACAAAATGAAACTTAAAAATTGCTCTTCACCTATTAGATAACCGTAAGCTGTTTTGATGCTTTCCTTCAAACTGTTCAGCAAGGCTATGCAAAATATGATAATCCATATCATAATGTTATTCATGCAACCGATGTTTTACAAACGGTCTATTATCTAACTACCAAGACCGGTCTATTGGTGAGTGCGATATTAATGCAGTAGCAAGATTACGAGGGCATATTCATGAGCTTAGATTGATTTCAGCTAAAGTCTTTATAATTTTCAAATTTTATCACGATCACCTTTTACACAATGGAGCTGGATGCAGTTAGTTAGCCTTTTATACATTCTACATAGTTATATACAGTGGTTAGCATAGTACCTATATCAAAATAAAATGAAATAACAGCTTGATGCGCCTATTTACAATATAAAGAGTAATTAAATCAGCATTTGGAGTTGAATTATAATAATTTCCAGCCGTACAATACTACCTCGTAACGTAATGATCGGCTATAAACGGGTTCTATGGATTGAGTCTTTACCCAATGGTTGTTTCGCTTTTCCTTCTACTTTCATTCTTAAGCATGTATAAGTCTGCTTTTATTAACTGAGATACATAACTTTGTTTAGATGCTTAATTTCTCTATTTTAATCCCTACAATTTAATGTTACGCATGTACATAGAATTGGTTGACAGATTTGGAAGTTTTCGCGTTGTTACTTGCTGCCGCTATCCACGATTATGAACATACAGGAACAACGAATAGCTTTCTAGTTGCTTCAGGGTAAGTAAAGTATTAGTGATTCAGTGTAGCTTTCTACTGATAGTTCAAGGAAGAAATGTACAATTATAGACGATAGTGGTGGAATATCTAATCTAAACTATCTAACTTTTTCAGATCTGAACTTGCTTTAATGTATAACGATCGATCAGTTTTAGAGAATCATCACATATCCTGTGCATTTCGTGTTATAACACAGGTAGAATTCATTTATTTCAATGAACATTAATTTTTTACGTCATCATAATTATTACGAATAATTCAACAATAAATATTATTATAAAATAAGATATTAAGATTTCCATGCTTCTAACTAAATTCTAGCCTGAACATCCCATCTTAAAAGGATTTTCCTATGAACAGTTTAGGTAAATAAAAATTTACCATTTTAGTTGATCATAGGTAATTCATTCCCTTATTTACTATGCCTTAACCATGTTTTAAACATTGCGCTTAATAGGGAAATTAGATGCATGATTATCGACATGGTATTAGCGACTGATATGACAACGCATTTTCAGCAAGTTGAATTTATGAAAAGATCATTACTAAATCCAAAAGGGTGAGCAGATTGCTATTTCATTAAATTTCTATTGTACCCTCAAAGTAATAATTGCATACCAATTTTTATCAAAAATTATCGTTATTGAGTTCAGTTTTTACAAATTAAAAGGACATTATATTTGTTAGTAGTTTTATACGATGTATTTCGTTCCACACGATATCATTCTTACATTTAGCTTAAACTGCTGTTAAAACTGAATTAAGTTCTAATTCTTTAAATTTGGATATTTATTGATTATCTTATTAATTAACGGTTTTCACGTATATGTTGCAATAGAATCGAAAAAATAGATCGTACCAAAGTTTTGAACTATATTCTTCACTGCGCTGACATTAGCCATCCCGCCAAATCATGGGAATTGCACAGTCGTTGGACGAATTTACTGATGAATGAATTTTTTAAACAGGTTCCTATTAATTTCGACTGATATAGCTATAATAGAATCTATGCACACTCCATTACAAATCGTTACTAGCTCCATCTTATACTACCAATTATTAAGGAAGTAAAACTAAAGTTTCGTGGTAACAATTCTTTTAGGGAGAATTGGAACATCAGCTGGGATTACCGTACTCACCTTTATGTGATAAAACGACGACGAAAATCCCTGAAAGTCAAGTTGGTGAGTAACAATTTCACAAATTTAAGATTGTAAATATAAATTGAATTACATCAAACTACATATTAAGGATGGATTCAGCCGAAGCTATAATTTCTGAATCTTTGTTTCACATTGAGAGCGTGTCCTAGTTATTTCACAGTATTTCTCATCACAGCTCCATATTATGAGTGAGATTTTAACTTTGTGCTGTATAGTTTGAACAATTATAAATGTTTGCTACTACTTCCGTTAAATCAAATTATATAGTAACAACTTATTGAATCCAGAGGTTTCGATCGTCGGTTTTATGAAATATCATAGATATAAAAAGACTATTTCAGTACCGAGTCTCTTATACTATACAATATCATATATATGAGAAGACTACTCAACTATCGTGTTTCTTATACAATTATTTATTTTGCAATCAAACTTTTGCTCTAAATATAGATGCAGTACTTATGTTCATAACATGTTCCTATACATACGAATTGCTGTAGCAACTTAAGACTTAAACTATAGCTATACGAAGCATTAATTAATTACTGATTGATTACATATTATCATTATATCATCTAATAACATTACATATTATTAGATGTCATTCTTTAAATTAATTACCTGTCTTTCTTTAATTTTGATCACGCTATCATAATAGGATTTATCAACTTTATAGTTAATCCACTCTTTGACATATTTGGTGAAGTTATCGATAAAATTTCTCATCATGTGATGAACCAAAATGATGAAGAAGAATTACGAAAGACAGATACTGAAAAACCCTGGATTCAATCTATGAGAGACAATCATGAAAAATGGTTACATCAATGTCATGATTGTAAGCGTTCAGGTAAATGAATAAGCTTACAAAATTTCAGTAAATATTATAATAAAAATGGTTATGAATAGTTAAAATTAATCTAATACAGTATCGCTAATTGTATATCGATAACTTGCGCAAGTAAAGATTCTTTCAAGAAAATTTTAATTACCGACGTAGTAGCTAAACCGAATTAAAAATTGATAGTCTAGTAGCCATTAACATTTCACTATTTATTGCTATGGTAAATAAATAAAAAAGCATCATTTAAGTAGAATAAGGATCGAAAATGTAAATACCTCGCTAAACAACTCAATTTTGTCTACATCTGTTTCATAAAGCAGGTAATAGGTCATCTCGTGCATCGACAGCTGAAAAAACAGACGATAGTCGACCCAAACGCAACTCTGTAGCTAATGGTGGCCCTTCTAATCATCAAGGAAAGCGTCAAAGTCTATCCAAGAAAGCTACTAGTAAATTTGATAGCCGCCGTTTTACCCGGACGCAATCATCGGAGTTTGTCACCATTGAAGATACCGGTGTTTTAGAGAAATCCGATTCATTTTCTGGCAACCTTTTGAAGTCAAATAATACGATTAACCGCAAAAATAATTATCATGATCAGACGAAGAAAACGCAGCAAACATCAGCATCAACTACGACTGCAAATACAATAACACCAACAACGACATCAACGAAAACAACATCATCGGTCACAACAACAACGAACAAATCCACAGTTACAAATGGTTCCATACCTAATGATGATATCAAGAAAAAAGCGTTAATAAAAGAGAAATCAGACAGTGTAAATACAGATGTTAGCTCCATTAGCAGCCAACATCAGGATAATTTGGCCATGATAAAAATGAATATTGAATTAGATGAGTCTAATGATGCTGTTGATGATAATACTAACGACGTTGTAGTAGAAACTATGGTAGATAGCGATGGCTATGAATCTTCTGAGTCACCAGATCAATTGGAAATGTAACTATTATGATACGGATTTCTTAAAACTAATCAATACTTGAGTACCCGAAAAGACTAATTCATCACAAAACGATCAAATGTGATATTTATAAATATCGTAATGGTATTAATCATATTTTGCCAATTTACTACATTAACGGATGTTAATCTGAGATTAACTCAAATTATCGATGTTTCCAGCAGGTAATAATTGGTACATTCACCTGATCGAGTTAAGATTTAAAGTGTATAATTTAATCTCGATTGCATTGATGGTAATTTTTTAATTATAAAATATCGAAATAGAATTGTAGTTATACAGTATATGATTTAACTTCACCGTCAACTTGCGTGGAAATATAAAGATATCTATTTTGATTGACATTGTACATTGATATAACATTAATTTATCATTATTATTAGCAATATTTCAAATGGATTTAACTTTAGCTAAAGCATTATCTGTATATGTTGGTAAATGATACAGTGAATGATAATTATCGATATAGAATAATTATACTCAATTTCTTGCTAAATGCTTTCTTGCATAAAATATAATAGCCATTGATGACGACTATAGTATTATTATGACCGACTAGAAAATATAAAATTATTTCTTTTCAAGTTGGAGTTCATCACTATGATATATCATTTCATTATCGTTTTATCGAATGTATAAATCATTGAACGATGAGTCGAATCAAAATCAACATCAAAACAATGTATCTGATTATGATATTGATGATTATATCTCATGCGTGCATAACCAGTAACGCGGTATATTATCATTGCATCAACTAACTCTAGCTTTCACTGGAATGATAGCTGAAGTAGCTGGTCAATTCTGTTAAATACTCTTGTAATCACATGTTCAACTATCATTTAGGGTTGCTTTCGATTGTGCTGATTTAAAAATAACACGTACTTGAAATGCTTAATTAATAATACCCTATTTGCTTTCTAAAGTATGTATAGAAGATCGATCTATAGTTTCATAGTATTCAAAACTGGAAAGAATCTATGGTATTAATCTTTAATTGATTCATTCTATATCTGGTTGCAATTAATCTTTGTCTGTCGTTATTACTATGGTTGTAATGCCGGTATTTGAAGTCATGCGATGATTATAATGAAACTAACTTTTCAAAGTATCATTTGCATCAAATTGCAATACAAATTTAACTACTTTTTCTAAATTACTGTTTCGTTATTAAGCTAGTTAAGTAAAAGGATAAACAAAGAGGATTAAATTTGCTGTAGAATAAGTGAAATATTGGCTATTGTAAGTTGATTTCTATTCATAATAAAATGACTGATCAATTGGTGAAATCGGGATTATAAGCTTTGAACTGATTCAAGAGCGTTTATGAGTCCATTAGTTATACCTAAACATTCATAAACTTTAAACACTCCTATACTACATAGGCTAAGATTCTTACGATCGCAAATCATCAATAGCTGTAATTTAGATTTTGGAGTTGCTCAGGCTACTACTAAAAAATTGCTATGCCGATAATCTTGGTTCAAACAACTTAAGACGTTCTTTAACAGTTTTTCATATCATTGTAACAAAGCACTACAGCCCATTATAGCCAAGTTACGTCCACACTAAAGCATTATTTTAGCAAATATTATAATCATTTTATTCATTTCGTAACTTACTTGGATCAAAAAGTTAGTTAGTTGTACGAGTACTTAATTAAACACGGTAACAATCGTATATAGTCAGCATGTCATACAGTTTTTGCATTTCTAGAATATTTATCGAACAATTATCATATTTACGCGGTTAAAAATAACGAAATAAAAATATCCATTTTAAGAAAAATCTTTTACTTAAAGCTAATAGTATTTCTTAATTCATAACGGATTACCAAAACGCTATCTACTTATTTAATATTCGTTAAGAAAAAAATAATATAATCAATAACAGATCACTTAAGGAATATTTTATACTACATATTCATAAAGACTAAGGGTAAGCTCGTATCTCAAAGTTGTAAAAATAGCACTACTTCTATTAAAGATGTCATGATAGGCATCGAAAGTTTGACTATTAGTTAATATAAACAAATTGTCATACAATTGATTTAATAAGTGCAATAAATTTGGAGGATTTTCCGAACTCCAATGGGGAAAAAATCTCTTAACCAGCTTGAAACGTGTAGGTACTTGAACAGTAGTTGGAGTTACTAATAAATTCCTAAAATGACGAAGAAATCATACTTATTAAAACTAATTCATTCACTTATTTCCTTATTGAAGCAGCTATTTTAACCTGGATTTTTAAAAAATTCGAGATCTAAGATAAAGTCTTAACTTTAGCCTCATACTATTCATTACTATATCAAGCATTTCCATAGTGCTTTAAGCAGTTGAGTAATAGGTATCAAAATTTTGAGTTGAGATGATTTAAGTAATAACTCAACTCAAATACAATCGAATAAAGAAATAAGACATTAAGATGCGTATATGGCAGTCACTTTAGTGCGATGCTTAAAATTGAGTACTATCTATTTTAAAGCTTTTAGTACTGGAGTAAGACCTCAATACGTAACCCCTTTTAATAAAAGCAGTAGCCTATGCAATTGTATTCTTAACTAAATAAGTAAAAACAGTTAACATTCATTAACCAACCTTTTTCTACTGTTTTGACTATCCTTCGCTAAAGATTCAATTGTACTTAACATAATGTCGTAATCGCTTCCTGCTAAATCGAAAATTTCTATGTTCTTGTTACCTTTCGTTATACAGAGATACAAGGTCAGAGTCCTATTATTGTGCAATACGTATCAAAACAAATCATACCTCGGAATTGTGCCAACATAAATTTTGGAGGCATGTATGTGCGGTAAAATATTACATTAGTGGAAGGATTAATTGTAGTCCCACCATTATCGAGTTTATAATTATCGTGAAGGTACTTCATGCATGGATAAATGCCACCTAAATGGATACAAGAGAACCTTAAAATTTTCCATCTTTAATCTGGTATCCACTTTAAGTGCAGACATTTTGCAATGATCAAAATATGTAACTGTTACATTAGTCCATAATGCGATTGTAATTGTGAATTACCTTGATGCATAAATCCGAAAACTAATATGCCAAGTACATTAAATAAAATCCAAATAATTAAATTACGAAATCTATTACGGCTACCAAAGAAATTGTTCCCGAATAAAATAAGCAATGGAAAAATGACGGGAAGAATAAATCGCGGTTCGTGATGTGGAATCCATGATAAAATAACTAATGGAATATATACGCATCCTTTCAAAAACCATCGGTTAGACAAAGAAATACTTGCTTGGGTAATTTGGTCGTTATTACCAGCATTAGCCAGAAAACTAATAATATCTCGTAATGTTTGATAATAAAGTGCAACTGTTAATGGCCCAAATAACATAAACATATTGACTAATCCATGAGTAACTCTGGGGTGTATACCATGCGTACCTACAAATCATATCAAATAATCAGCATCTAAATTTCTCTTGTACTATTTTATGTAGCATAGATATCATCACATAATTGTCACTGCACCTAAATTAGAATCGTTGATGTTATATAAAATAAAACACAGTGGCGTAATGGCAAAATTTCCTTGCACTGATCTATAATAGTTCGAATCAACGATAATTAGCAACAAGGCTATGAATAGACCACTTATTGCCATTCGGATGGAGCCATTAATCGCTGCTTGTAGGTTTACTGTCCTACCTATTTTGATAGATAAGGATTTAATAGCCTGAAATTAATACTAAAGTTGACAATTGACATACCAGTATTCTATTGATATTATTAGTAGCATGCAAGATGTCTCCAAATATTTCTTTTATCTAAATACATCAATTCTTACTTTGATGATACAACATTGAAAGAACTGGCCAAAAGGCAAAAACCAAGAACGTTGGTCTAATAAAGAAACCAACTGCGACTGTTATCCCAGTTATTAACCAGGTTCTGTTACAGTAACTGCCAGAAGGTGAAGTCTTTTGAGTAGAGTAATATATTATTAACAACCAAGAGAAAAATATCATTTCCACAAAGTTACTGAATGTCCGGCAGAATATAAAAATTGGATGAGCGCTTGCAGTTGTTAGTAAGTAAGCCATTGCGTCATTACTTTTGATGTTCAATCGCTGGCATACTATCCAAACGGAATAGTCTAAATACAGTATAATCATATTTAGTTAGCATAAGAAATTTGCATGAATGTCGTTTTACGTATTTGATAATCCTTGAAAAATATGTTAATATCCCTACTAAATTCATCAAACAGAGGCATAATGCAATGGTACGATCTGTACGAAAATGCATGCATCGAAATCGAGCTATACGTATTGACAATGGATGGCTGAATACTTCTGATATAAACTTACCAAAGAGGAAAGATAAGGCACAGCAGAAGAGTCGAGGCAATACGAGTAAAGTATACGGTGAAATCAAATCGATAGAGAAAAGATCTTTGAGAAACTTGAGCAAGATCATTGGTAAACCAGATATGAAATATGGAGTGATGATATTTCGTAAAGGACATGATACATTCCATTCCCAAGTACGCGTAGTGTCATAATCGAAGATATCCCCTATAATATCAGATCAAACATGCTATCACTTTCTGCTGTATAAATGAACAGTTGATCTACTTTTATTTTATGCTCAATTTAGGCATACCATAATTAATCAAAGATTTTGTAATCGACTATAGCTTCATTGAGATATTACACGAAGCAGAATTACGATATGGATATCTACGTGCACTGTGGCGATCCAATCTCCCAAATTCTCAGATACTGTACCTCTGCATTACTGCACGTTGGAGTGTACAATCTACAGAAGATTCTAGCTAAGTTATCCATTTCAAACTGATGCAATAAGCGTCATACGCGTATAACGTTCGAAATAAACCACAGCAAACGTGAATATTCATATAGGTCTAACCTGCAATAACCTCTGGTGATTGGAAAAATTCATCTGGGTGAATATATCCAGACTGGGGCATGAGAGTTAGAATGACTCTTAATACTGCCAAGAGATAATACAGATTCGGTAGTGATTCCATCCGACGCGCTTTGTCAATCTTCTTCCCTTGTACAGTATGCAAAGATATCTCGATAGAGGCACGCCTAACCTATTTTATTCCCACTACTACTCAATTTAACCTATATTGCAGACCTTTTCAAGCGATTAAACGTTCGATTCAGTGAAATGGACCCTCTGCAGCTTAGCAATAATAATCATACTCTTCATAATATTCTATCATATTCGTACGAGTATTTTATTATTTCCATTTCTTCGTTTATAAGGGCCCTTGCGTAGACCTGTACTATGGGCTACTACTCATTTCGACAGTACTTTATACTGTATATTTTACAGTACAATATACTGTAGTGTACAGCACAGTATGCTAAGAGGTGCCCAAGCAGTGACCTGAAACCTTTTAAGGTATTGGACTAATGCAATATTGTCGGCACTCTACTCCACTTCCACGAAATGAAAATATGAAACCGTTTGGAATCTGCTAACAAATATATATTAGAATTAATTTATATAGAACAGTACAGCATATACAGTATTTATCTATCATTCACTACTGTACGAATACTGACGCTATAAAGTGGGAGTAATTTTAATAGGATTAAGAGTCTCTACAAATACTAATCTAATCTATACTGTACTGTATTGTACACTCTACAGTATATTTTATATAATTCAAAAAATTGATGAATAATTACTGTCATTACTGTAGTCTATGCCATTTTATAGTTTTTCAAGTTTGCAATGACAACAAAGTATTATCAAAGGCATTGAGATAGAGTATTTTGTGAGTGGCAACGCTTATAGATCGATAGCATGTGAGAAGAGTGATTGGTAACGTTCGACTGAGTTAAAGACCTCTTCATGGCTGCCAATAATATCCTTATCCAAGTTGGTCAGTGCGGAAATCAGATTGGTAGAGATTTTTGCAATTTCATCGAAAACGATAATGATGACAGGTATTACTGAAGGCAATAATTAACAAGATTCGTGATTACTGTATTTATAATATATTGTACAGTATATTGCCTTTAAAAACTACGTTGCAAGTGTAATTAGGCTACTATGACAGCTATGATCCGAATTCGCGAACCTATAATATGGGACGCGTATAGTAGCTGCTTATAATAATAATAAGAATAACAATAAGAATAATAATAATAATATTATTCCTACGATTTGACGTATCTATGCATGAATACAAGTACAGTCTGTATTGCAATTTAGCAATTGATAAATGAAATAAAGTTGATTACTAAACATCTCTAAACACCTACAAATCATTCTCCTGCTAGTAATTTTGACCTATTATGGTGTAATAATGCACAACAAAATGATAAACTGTATATTGGTCTATAAAATTTAGTAATCAATGTTGACAGTTGCAGCTCTAACATCAGCTCACATTCCATTTCGTTTCACGGTTGTAATCCTGATTTGAAGTACGTCATCAATGTCTCACATTTATCAGCATTATGATAAAAAGCTAAGATGCCTTTGCGTCGACAGCGAACCCAAGGTATGTTATTATTTTATAGGATAGATATCTATCAATCATTAAATAACTGCTTTTAGCAATAACAAGAATTAATATTTTCCAGGTAAGTGTACGTATGCCGCACATTACTTACAATTATTTTGACTATACGCGTATTTGTAGGTTATCTCGAACTTACTGAACAAGTATGAAAAAAGGTAATCAATAACTATAGAATCTGTTCGGCCTAATAACTACCGTAATATACTGTACACAATAATTATGAGTGCATTTTATAATTTATCGATACGATGTTTCTGAGGTATTGTATCTGAGGCATCTTATTAGTGCACTCATGCATTAAGCACGATTATAGTACATAATTATGACATGGCAGAACTGCAGTACATTTTCAAAATGTTATCTTCTTTCGTACCTGACGTGATCCTTTTATCAACACAATATCTTATTTTATGCAAGCTATCGCAAGAAAAATATTTTTTCGGGACGTTCTGGTTGCGGTGCTAATTGGGCTCTCGGTAAGAACAATGTGGACTTCAGAAATTACTAAAGTTATATTGTATTTCTATCAGAGAAAACATGTAGGCTTTAACGTTAATTACTTGTTATGTATGTGGTTCGTAATACTGCTTTAGTCAAGTAATAAATCTCGTACAGTGTGTAAAATAATATAAGGTTTATTTGGAAAACTGTAGCGTAACTAGATAAGGCAGATGTATACTTGATATAAATCTATAAGCGTAAATCAGTGTATGTAATCGTAAAGTAAGGCTGTATGAGTACAGAATTAACGTAGAATTATACCAATCTTAAAGAACTGCTCACATAGTAACAAATAAAGCACGTTTCTCAAGAGTTACACGCGTGAAGATACATTTTAAGCGAACATAAAATGTGTGCAATTGTGTAACAACAAGCGTGATAAATATGTTATGTAGGCGTAATAGTACATATATGTAATAGATACTTAACATATACTAACAAATCTAAGATATAATAGTTATCTACCGTACTACCATTGTAATACTACTTGATACCAAACAAAATGAAGAATAATTTTATTAAGATTCGGTAAGTTAATCGTTGATGTTTTATCAATACATGCCTATATAGGTTACCACGGATTTCAGAATGTTATTGGCCCATCATTTATAGATGATTTTTTAAATGCATTAAGAAAGGAAGTGGAACGGTAATCACTCTGAATATAGGCGTTGTGATATCAATTCTATTGCATATACATCTGATTCTACGCACTTTGCAGTTGTGACTCGTACATGGGATGTATTATGCTTCATAGCACATGCGGAGGTACTGGATCAGGTATACATTTATAGAAGAGTAGTTTTGAATATAGACTTCAAAAATTGGAATTTTTTACTACATTTCTCATTAATTGAGCTAAATCTCTCATTATGTATATTTAGGTTTAGGTTCCAGAATCTGCGAAGCTATCAGAGAAGAATACCCAATAAATTACATATTATCTGTTGGTGTGTCTCCTCATAGATCAGGAGAAAGCCCATTACAGTGCTACAACTCGATGTTATCGCTATCATATTTACAAAAGTAAATGATATTTCTGCATGATGCATAACTTTTAAATTTAAGATTGATGTAATTTTTATACGCTCTATGAAGCTTATTAAATGGTCTTAATTTTCTCTCTTATTACTTATTACACGACTGAGTAATTGATTATATAATTAACGTACTTCTTCAATCTTTGATAGCTACTCAGATGGCATAATTCTTTATGAAAATGATGACGTTATCAACCGAATAATGTCCCTTCGGTATGCAAATGATTAATCTGATAATATATTGTACGTTATTATACTTGCGCGCCAAATAAATTATCAATCTAAATGATTTTTAATTGCAATATATAACTAGGTCAAAGTCTGAATCTTCTAAGGCGGTTTCTCTAGAGGCAATGAATAGCTACATTGCGAGAAGCCTAGCAGGAATTATATCACCCTTAAGCTCACCCAAGTCAAATGTAGCAAGGTAACAAGTTTACTTTGACGGTGAAGCATTAAATCTATTCTATATAGAAATCAATCCGAATAATTATGTAAAAGTGTAATTTTGGTTACTATATAATCTTTGCTACAATTTAGCAAGGTGTATAACTTCAGAATACCCTCTAATATTACAGTTGTTGTCTTATAGTTGTGTATTTCCGGGTAGAGAACCTTGGGAAATGCTTCAGACAACATGTCCAATGCCAATCTTAAAATTTACCGGTATTAAGTACTTATCGAAAGGGTATGCTATCAATTACAGACTGTTGTAGTTATCCACTGTAACAAAAATCGTATTTGTTACTTTTACCAAATAGAAATTTCTTGTCTTTCATAGGGTAGCTTGGGATAGTTTAGTTCGTAACTACGTCCAAACTAATTGCAGACCCAAATCGGGAACTGTTGTATGTGGCGTAACTTATCTTTAAGTATTTTTGTGCTAGCTTTACGCAGCACTTATTCATACACGAGTATATCTTAATTAAAGAATTTTAAATTTGATAACAAACTCAACTGCTTCTTTTATTGCAGTTAGATTCTATTTCCTGTCTAGCGGTTGCAAGAGGTGATAGGGATCATTCCTTTTTCAATTTCATGCCAAGATTAAACGAAAACTTGAAAGCAGCGTATCGATGTGTCAATTGGAATCCGTTTCCTATTGACTATTGGACAGGTATCCTACTATACGTATTTGCTTAATTATTTTGCGGTTCCATTTAATTTGAAGCAGTCTTGCTAGATCGTTAATAATAAATATTTGAACTCTGTTAGCTGAAAAAGACTGCTCAAGGAGCGCCAGTTCTGGTAGTAGAACTCTATACGTTTGCTCAAATAGTTGTGGTGTTATAGACTACTTCGATCATATTCTGTCGAAAACATCAACAATGTATGAAGCTAAAGCTTTCCTTCATTGGTATTGGAAATACGGTTGCTGTGAGGTGAGAGTTTGAGAATACTTACTGATAGTTTTATGATCAATTTATTCTTAGAGAGTTACACTATTCGTGCATTTAACTATAATTGCCACATTAGTAAGAAATATTTTTTTATGATTAAAATATGGCTTTGATGTCATAGCTCATGATTACATGAATGCTATTCTATAGACTGTCTCGACTCGTATTTTCATAAAAGTTATATTTTGATCTTCAATTATTAAAATGTAATTTCCGTTCTAGGACGACTTTTGCGAGGCCCGCGAAACGTTACAGAGTGTAGCTCTAAATTACAGAGATACCTTAAAGCAATGAGTACCTGCAGCCCACTGCATATTGCAAGATTATGCATATACAGTACTATGATTATTTATTTACTTCACCGACTCTTTTATTCTTATATTTTAGTGATGCTAATTTTTATCGTATCACACTTTCAAAACGTTTTAGGTATATTAAGTTATCGTGTTTCTGAATTGCTATCTTTATATTTTATTTAATTTAAATAAATATTAATAAGCTATCTAGCAATTTCGATGACATCTAATTACTGTTAAAAAGTGAATTCAAGAATTTTTCATGATAATTGATTAATTAAAGCAGTTTACATGTGACCATCCCTTTTCAATCATGCTAACGCAGGAGCTATTTACATTCTTACTATAAAGTAAAATAAACGCTGACACTGAGATGTACGAAGGACTAATAAACTAACAGGCACATGATGATACACGACGTAAACTTAGAACGTAGCGTAATAGTGCAAGCTATTACACTTCATTTTTTTAGAGCCATTAACAGATATTGGTTGAATCTACACTATGGAGTTATGGTCAATACTGTGAATGAAATTCACATTGCCCATCACGAGAACAAAGCTTGCCCTTATTCGCGTTTAAATGAATAGCGCTAATGAAATGGAATTTGTTTTTAAGTCAATCAAAATCTACAGTAAGCTTGATTAGGTGATTACCACAATACGAGTACAGTGTGTCAGCATCTCACCGTTACAGTGTGCAACTAGTGTCATAGCGTGGTTTGAATAAACCTTGAACTCAGCAATCTACTTTTGTGCTAAAATTTTCATGATGGTCAACGACAACCGAGTTACAGATTGTATTATTATAATTGACATTGGGCATCATTCAAGGATATTTGCCTTAAAATGGCCATGAATGAGCGAGCCACTGTCAGTCTACTGATTTAAACTAGGAACTTGAAGTGTTCTCCATTTTTGCAGTGCAGTGAAGTACTGTACAGTACGTACAGTACAGTACAGTACTGTACTGTACTGTAATGCACTATACTGTACACTGTACAGTACGGTGTTGAAAACACTCAGTCGGACTAAAGTTACAGTCTTGTTAATCAAGTAAAAAGTAAAAGTAGGCGAGGTCAAAGTACAGTACAGTACAGATCGACTAGCCACCTCATTAACCGTTAACCTTATTATTTATAATAATACTAAGTAAAGTGCACGTACTGTGTACAGTACGTGCACTTTTGGCATTGAAAGTGCCGTTTTTAGCTTAAACGATTCAATTCAGAAAAATCCTTAAAAATCCCTAGTGGGAGTATAAAGAGTGAATAATAAATTACTATAGTAATTTTTTTTATTAGTACTGTAGTCCCTTGTGCTCACTATGGGTCCTTGCGAGCATTTCATTTGTCGTTGCGATACACGTACATTGCTCGATTAAACCTCTCGTTCAACAAATCTTGAATGCCTACGGCGATTTTTCCAGTGTTATAACACATAGCAGCACGTACGCAGTGGTGTACCTATTTTGTTGTCTCGTACCATACTGTATTTTTAATTCGATTTGTACAGTAGTTAGATAGACTTTCATTAATGATTATAATTATAATAATCGCGTCGTCTGCTCGTCGATAGGCAACTGATCAAAGTGCGGCGTGGGATACTGTACTGTTAAAAGAGAATTCTCTTAATTAATTGCAGTAGAAGTCCTGCTCTGGCACTACCTCATACACCTTGCATACTGTACTGCCAAATCCGGAAGTAAGGTCAAAAGTGTAGTATACAGTACTCGGTAAAACATACTGCTTTTTAACCATCCTGAAACTCAGAAAAGCTTAGACTAGTAAACAGTCAGTACTGTGGAGTTTCTGTGTATCAGAACAGTAGATTTGTACTGTTTTACTTTTTTACCACAGAGAAACCAGGATAGTCCCTGGAGAAACTCACAGAGAAGCTCAGTACTATACTGTACTGTACCGTATTATTACATCACTACCTGGTCAGTAAACATTGTCAACAGTAGAGTACACTACTGTACAGTTCTTGATACTGTGTGCACCCCAACAGTAGATTTAGCATCAAACGTTGATCGCAGATAGATCGAAAATAAACTGTAAGGACACAAGGTACGACGGAGGCGTGGATGTTGGACGACCATTAAGATACAGTGGTTTTGAACCAATCTTTGGTTAATTAACAGTAGAAAACTTAAATCTTGACTGTAAGCATCTTTAAAAACTTTCATTCTTAGAGAAATTGAATACTGTGCCGCCTGTGCGTACTGGTACGTCTGACATCGACTTGGAACTCGATTGTTTTGCCTTTCTTGTTTGGATTGAAGGTAAACTCTTTACTATAGTCAGAACGGTATGATTTAAATTGTTACCAGTATTGAAGCTTAATTCACTCATGGTACTACAAAGTTATCATTTGAAGCAATGCGTATGCACTATAAAGTACTTACTTTTTTCTGTAAGTAACTTTTTACCTATTTGGATTTTTCGTTACACGCACGATTGACTTCTTATACGTGTAAGATAAGCAGCCGAATCTAACTTTTCGAAACCATCATACTGTACAGTACTGTATAACATACGTAGACACTTTACGATTGATTTATGGCTTCAACAATGTTAATTACAACTATAATAATCTTTACAAGCTTAAGGTACAATGTAGATGATTGGACTTCTTGAACTCAAACGCACTGTACAGAAATTATAAATCACGATAATTAGCAGAATATTGTTAGAATTACTATGCTCGTTATCCAATTGAACGGAGCAATACAATCATAGATGTCAAACAAGAACTACGGTATACCTTTGAACCCTAGTACGCCTAACTCATGAAACAACATCGTTAAATGTAAGTCAGATCGGTTCTACAGTATTCAGAGTTTGTGAAGCCTGAAATGTTCTGAAATTGCACTGCAGTGTTGTTTTCCTTTTTGCCCTTTGCTATACCTGTAAATTTGGGATCAAGTCGATTCTACTCAAGCGCTGGCATTATACGAGTACAGTAGTATACTTTTTAATTTTAAAAGAAACTGTATTTTAATACAATTTACGTCCACTCTATACTACGTACAGTATTGTAACTGTCTCCAACCATTAATCGTCGTTATTGTACACTAGTGTAATTAATTAGTTATAATTATTGAATTGGCTGTTTTAAACTTCCATTTTTGGCGATATTTAAAGAGGGCATAATAGCCCTGATATTTATATAATCATTTTATACTTACTGGCTTTAAAAATTTTACTTCAAATGTTGTTTTAAGCGTAACTGTTCGTAATTTAGTTTGACTATCTATCTGAGATTACTGGACAGCAATAATCTAATACGAGTATGATACAGAGTAAATGAACACGTTTGCCTCCAATTTCTGTACCCAAATCCCATTCTTCCTATTTCTGGTGCAGTCATAATATACTTGTAGTTTAAAAATTAATTTTACTGTAATAGTAATCGCTAGATTAATTACCGATATATTCTAAGCCCATCAACTCCCCCTCTCCGAACGTAGAGGTAAAGATATTCACGGCATCAGATTTGATCGAACGTGATAAAATTATTGACCTATCTAAGCTACGCGTATATTCAGATATCAAGGCACTTGTGATTCTATTTTTGTTTTTCGCACGGTTTAATTTATCATTAATTTATTGCTATCTTCTGCATGAAGTGTATCAAGATATTTTAAATGTATACTGTATACACGTCCTGTTCAAAGTAATCTTGTAGAATTCTTTCACGAGGTAACAAAATACTTAAAGTTATTCAATTTACCACCGCGCATAAATCATCGACGGACTACTGAATGATCGGTTACAGGGACTTTTACAAGTAGTTTTTAAATCTGCATTTTAGTGCCTTCGCTTAATAAAGCTTATCCGACACAATTCTCAATTCACCAAAGCTCTTCACTTTAAACACAAATTGCAGCATTTCTTACGTACAAGCAATGAACTCAGATATGATATCATTGCAGTGCTGAGAACGTTTTAAAATATATATTCTGAATATGATAGCTAGCAGAAACTAGATTGTTGAAATATCTTTCTTCATGCAATATTGATGCAAAGTAGTACTATTTGCTGTACTCCATTGACCATTGTAGCTTGCGTACATACAGTTAAGTCGCAGGCAACTTACTGCACAGTACATCTTAAGTAGACTCGTGCAGTCACAGTAGAACTGTATTATTTTGGGCTATGATATACTGTACATATACAGTATGAAGTACACAATGATGTTTACGCCTATGGTGAAATAAGTATACGTATATATATATACTTATACTTTACTATAGTCATAACCTAACAGCAATCATCTATCGTCATCCTTTACTGTCAGAATGCCTTGGCAATGGTCATTTATATAAAGTATCTGATTTCAGCAATTCAAGTATATCATACAGTCAAGTCTTATTCTGTGGTTAACGCGGATTACTGATTTGAGCATGTATATTGTATTGTACATACTCACGTTTTACCGCTAGACTTCGAACGTTCTTAAAATATTGATGAGTTGTAAAAATGTAGATGCAGTTAATTTAAAGGTAAGATTGAATTCTGAAAAAGTGATTTATGGGTAATAACGTGAATTAATGATATTAACTGACTATATCTCTCTTAAGAAGATATTTACTATTACTGATGTACTGTACTGCACTTTGCTGGAAAATGAATCTTAAAAATCTCATCCGATCATGACACCTTTGTTGACTATTTTTGTAATGAGGATAAGTGTTTTTCTGAGGTCATGAAGATTTTGTCTCAACGTTCACTGTGCAATACAATACTTGTAAACAGAATAGCATATACGTATAATATTGTGTATAGTCTATAACACATATTGTACAATACAACAAATTGTATTGATGAATGAATAAAATAATATGCTAGTACATAGGAATATTACATAATCGTATATATCATCTATACGTAAGTCATCGATATTTCAGATTCATGAAAAGTATTCCTGATGTAGTAAAAATTTGTAAATTCAATTTATAGTACTGTAAATTTTAACTGAGTCTACATTAGCCCGCATGGCGAAAATAATTTATTATATTATATTTCTTTAATGTCCTTATTTACAGGAAGCGTAGTCTACGCGTAGATACTGTTATGGTAGCCCGTCCGAAAATGCAGCTAGTTGTAATCATTTTCGTAGAGCCCAAAAAGAAGGGAGAAAGTTGTAGTGAGTAGACACCAGTCAACAGGCCATTAATGCCGTGATGATTCCCTGGTCACACCACTATAGTACTTTACACTGGATCGCCTTGCACAGTTGGATGCCGTCTTGACAGTTAGTTGAACCCATCAGGATATGAGATATTATTCAAAGATATTTTACCGTGAAGGAATGTTTATTAGCGGAAAGTAACAGCAGCATCAATAGAATACTACAGTATCTCGCTAAATATGCGAGATTTTCATCGTGTTGAAATCATAATTTCACGTTGCAAATTAAATTAATGTAAAGTACAGTATATGAGTAAATGACAAATTGTTTGTGAACGCAGCAGCTGCAGCTTGACTTATAATTATTGAGGCTCACTGTAGGACGCACAGTATGTGATGAGTAGAGTGAGTAGACAACTTTTTAAAATAGCACGTAAAAAATGAGATGAAGTAAATGGTAGCCACACAACTACACGTCTCGAGAGGTATATCAAGTGTGAAAGTGCAAGGTATCCATGTCAATTTTGTATTTCGTAGTAGGCGTGCCGACATTAAGCAATGCAATCATAGTCTGACATATGCCAACGGTCGCTAAATACTTAGTGCTATTAATGTAATCTGAAATAGGGTTGGTTCATAAACAATCTAAACAAGATTGACTGTAGCAAGCAGTTGAATAGTTTGACATTTTTAAATTATTTTATGGTACATTACCGTCGAAATTGCATTTCAACTCAACCACGTACAGTAAGGTACAATATATTATACACAGCTAAAACTATAATCCTTCATGTCTAGACTGGATATGATGCAGTACGTGTTGTATGTACTGTATACTTAATATTCAAGAAATGCTATCATTCTCATTCCATGCCTTAACTATCAACTCTCGCTAGCCAGCTTTACACGGCAGTGAACATTTAGTGCACAATAGTATTGAATAAAACTACTATACCGTAGCAAAAAGATCATTAAAAGATTTTTGATACTCCATGTTAGCACTGCTAATATTGGATACAGAGTATTATTCAGTATTTATAAGTTGCAATGTAATATTAAAATTCTTGTATCCATTTCTTTGAAGAATGATTATATGTACTGTACTTGTATTTACACAGTGAGGTACCCTTGGGAAATTGAAAGCCAATGTCTCCTGTTGTTTGATTGGCTCTTACTAGGACATTCATTTAAATTGAGATGCAATAGTTTTTCATTGATTTATTTAAGTTATTATCAATTGTAATTGCTAGTGGTGCATCCGTATTCTCTGCCAGTTCAATATGACATTATCAGCGATTAATGATTCTTAGTCCCAGATTGAGTAGTACCAGGGACGTTATCGATAGAGTTGTTCAGTGGTCACGAAACGCACAGTGTACCGAACATTCTACAGAAAGGAAGCTAACATTTCTGTAACCGCAGCATATATCGCAAACCTCCTCGTATCTACATTACATGCCCTAGAAATACAAGAACGAATAGACTGATTTTTTATCCAAATCTCAGAGGTAGGCAGGGCACAACGGTGTATTTGCTGTTTACGAGAATATTTTTTATCTTGTACACTACTGTTCTACTGTATACTATATATCATCTATTATACATTATACGCTGTATACTGTACTGTAGAATTCTAGCGGTCATTGCTACATAGACGAAGATATTATTATAATAGTCAATAGTAGTGAAGTACAGTACATCCAGATTTAATTTGCCATTTTCGCTTTATGTAATCTGTATATTGTATGCCTGTATAATATACATATATTTTTCCAGTACATTTTAACCCTAAAGTGTACGACGTACTGTATTTAATGTATTAGTTTACATAGTTGTATTTTCACGGTGCTTGTAAGGACTTCACATACGGTTCATACAAATTGGTAAGATTTATATTGGTTCGTAGGAGAGATCCCCTATCAAAGTCATTACAAGATCATTTCACAAGTTCAAATTGAATAGTACAATGTACGTTAGTCCTCTGAGAAAAAAAGTCGAATAGTACTAACTCTAAATAAATAAATTTACGTTGTGATATTGTGTCGTGCTTTACCAAATCATTCAGCTATTATAGAATTGAAATTTTGTATACTGTACTGTATTCCGTTGGCGTGGAGTTGCAAATAAAGTTGACGCACAGGTAGAAGTTTGTGTATCAAAACGTATGGTGAATTATGAATTTGTGATTGACTTGGACCGACTTCGTGTACTTGCTATTTTACACTTTAATATTAGTACAAAGTTCAGTAACAAAATTCTGGACCGCATCGTTAATGTACCTTGGGAGGCCTGTCTAGTGTGCAGGGAATTCTTTTCAACTTTTGATATGTATTTTTGACTAGATTGATTTCGAGCTTTGAACGTTTGGAACGCACATACGCTGTCACTAGATCGCACGGCTGTCACGTCTTTTTCAGCCGATCGGCCGGCAGTGGTTGCCTTTGTGTGTACAGTATAAATGTCATATATACAGTACAGTATTGTACTACTGTACACTGTACAGTACACTAAATATCTCAATCCCCATAATCCATACAGTATACTGTACTGTACTGTATGCTGTGTACAGTTATGACGGCGTGGTACAGTGAATGGTTCACTTCCTTACAGTACTTCATGAAGTTCGTACTGTACTGTAGGCAGCACACCAGCACTATCCTGTATCGCTCCATCATGTCCTGTACTGAGTCAAGAAAAATTTTTACCCGCTGTCACGCATTCCTTTGCTGCCCTGAAGTCAAGTTCAGACCGTGGCCAACAAACTTTCAGCACTATGCTACTGTCATACTGTACAGTACAAAGACTAATTGGATTCTACAGTACTGTACTGAAGCCGTGCAGTGTGATCGCTGTCACAGAATTATTACTGGACTGCGGATTCCTGAACTGATTCGAGTTCATCCCTGGTTGCACGATTTGAGGGACTCGATTAGCGAGTATTTTTTTCATATTATTTCTTATTAATTAAGATTCAACCGGGTTTACACGCTGATCCATAAGCTATTTCTTAAAGAAATTCTTTTCGGTAAGACGATATAATTGCTAATAGCTTGACATTAAAAATTGACTACTTTGCAAATTTAACACTGGCAATATTTGACTTTTACCCTACGTGAATTGAAGTAACCAATATGGTAGGAGAATGCAAGAATATACCTAACATTGAAAGTGAATTTTTGACCTCTGTAGTATTATAAAATGCAGATTGTAAAAAAGCACATAGATAGAATGCTATTTTATTTTAGAAAATGCTTTTGATGCCTGCACGATGCTGCAGTGGTTGCAAGTGACCTACAATATGTATAGAAAGGGTTGACCTTGATAATCTAACGGAAATTACTGACAAATGCTTATGCAATCGTTCATTGAATCCTTTTGTAATTGTTAATTACTACACATGGATGAGTTAGAGCCATTGACGTGATAATTATATCATTAAAAAGCCGATAATCGATGTACAGTTACTGTGATTACGACGCACAGATTATTTGCTAGTCACACCCTCCACCTCCATAGCTTGATCTACCATTTTAGTTGAATGATACTTGACAGACGGAAAGGAAATCAGTAAGCATGCTGAAATTGCAAAATGCTCCCCTGCCACAAGCTAGAGTACTACTGTATGTGGATAACCTTGCATTGTACAGTAGTAACTTCATCGAAGCTTATAACATAGAGGCTTTCATACGACAACGACTTATCAATCACAGCTGTAGTTACTTTTCTTACGGAGAACCAATGCCGATACCATAAATCAGCAATGCGATAAAGTGCAACCAGGTCTATCGTATAATTCCCTGTAATAGTTGCCTTGATACGATGTCAATTGCTACCTATTTCCTTTTGTTTTAGATGTGCTTTATCGATTTATGTAAGACTTAAAAGATGCAATATAATTTAAGCCAGTAATGGAAACGCTGTTGAAGTGATGCCACTTAGTATAGTATCAACTATTAATAATTATATTAATTATGATTAAGCTATCATGTTGTGTATTAACTTGCGTTGATTTGAAACACAAAACGTACTCCATACGGCGTAGTTACATGTGTTACTGTAACGCTCACAAAGCTATACTTCAGGACAGTCAATTGATGATTAAAAAACTTATAAAATGATAAAATTTCTATGTAAATTTCATACAACATTATTGACTTTGAATAGTACAGTACGGTACTGATACTGTATGACATATAGCATATCAAGAATGCTATACTTGTATAGCCCTGTTGCTACGTTTATTTGATAGATTTCATGTCATAAAGTTAAGAAATGGCATGACGACTGTACGATAACGCTTGGATTTAGTTCTAAGTTGGTACAGCAGCATGGTGGAGGGTTCACATTAGATATCATTTTTCTACGGTATCAATATTAATTCATACTTGTACAATTTTTGTAGGAAACACTTAGTCAAAACGATTCGGCTAGCAAATTGGATTTCTAACTGTAATTCCCAAATGCACAAGTAAGTATCATCCATTGAAATTATTTAGATACTCGATGTTATGTCAAATTTTATTCAAACATGAGAAAAGTAATTACCTCTGATGAATAATGGAATTGTTAGCTAGCGCACTCTAGTTGCAGTGAATCAGTAAATAGAGTGATTACAATATGGGTGCAAGTCTTATATGTCCTTCTAACCAAATACAACGTAATATAATCCTGATACGAAATACGAATATCTTATTCAATTTTTGATTACTCAGCGGAACCATATTGGAAAAGAAAGACTCTAATAACGCAAATCTGGATTGTCCTGTGGCTGTAGCGTTCGAAAACGATTCCACAGGACTTCAAAGCAAAGATGTGTCACCTGATAGCGACGTAAACGGTAAGAGCTTCTTATGGTTGATCACGTCATTTTGACAGTTATCTAAAATACCGAAGATTAAGTCGTATAATATGTACCTTCATTAAAGACGTTACAAATCATGATGATGGTGTCAAGAATGCTATTTCTAAAAGTACTACCGATGACGGCATTAGAATATCCTTAAAGAATGAATTGGAATATTACTTTTCAAGGTATTGCATAGATTACATTCAAAACAATTTTATACTATCCATGAAGATGTTCCTATGAAATTTGATTTTGCTACAATGCCATAAGAGTAAAGTGAAATTCTAATATATTTGACATATTTCATGAGTGTATTAATTCGATCATTTATCCTTCCTTATAGGGAAAATGTCGCTTCTGATGCATATTTGCGTAAGTGTATTGAATGTCATAATATGAGACGTTTTTATTCGGTAATACTTGCTTTTTAATTGATGCTAATCTTACATTGCAGTTTCTCAAATGGATAGCGACCAATACGTGCCAATTAAAACAATAGCTACATTTAATACAATTAAGCAGCTAACATCAGACATAGATCTAATCACTGAAATATTGAAAGAGTGCTCTACTGTACAGCTGGATGAAGACGGTGAGAAAGTCCGACCAGTTACTAATCGATGCACGATCATTCTACGAGAAATTGATAGACGGACGCCAACAGAGGATATAATGAATCTATTCTCTGATACGTGTCCTAAACCAATATCATGTGAATTTGCCCACAACAACAGTTGGTACGTTTCCTTTGACAATGATGAAAAGGCGCAGGAAGCCTTTAATTACATAAGAGAAGTAGTGAAAGAATTTCAAGGCAAACCAATAATGGTAATTTTAACTTATCCATATGCCGGTAAAATGTAAATATATGTTAATTCACTACTTGCTCTTATAATTAAGGCTCGAATTAAAGCAAAGCCGATACAGAAACGCGATTTTGGCCCAAAAAACGAATTTAGGCAACTGGTACTATTTGATAAATTTTATTACAGTAGTATATTTCATGTATAAATTAATAATGTTGTATTCTACACATCGTAATCTCCTAGCCTCCAGAGGTTAATACATATCCACGCCCAAGGCCTGCTTTTGGGATGGTTCCTTTCAACGGTCATCAGGTAAATATGCCAAGACGAAATCAGAGCTAAATATTTCGAGATTGTGTGACATCTCGACTACGCTTGTAAAAGTTGGACTTTATTTTTGCTTTATGTCACTAGGCTGTTCCTTTCTACAATGTAATGCCTTGGGCCGTGCCTCACTATTACCCAGAACCGGCAATGGTTATTTGAATATTTTATATTAGTTTAATCGTTTCCTTGTCTTTTTAATAAATTCATCTTCTCCACAATACACAGGGAGGTATACCAATGCAAGCAGGTTTCCCACCTTTTAAAAGATTTCGTACGTTACCAGCATGTTGTTAATTATAATAATGGAAGCATTTCTGATGTAGATGAATAGTGTACTTATGCAGATGTATTTTTCTGCATTAATAGCACCTTCTAATACAATGAAACAAGTATCAAACCCATCAAATCATCGTGGACATTCGGGGTATCTATTAAAAGTGTTATGAGTTGGTTTGCTTATATTAACCGCTAAATAATGGTACATTAATGTCTTTTATTGCACCTTTAGTCATCACAATAAAAATACTTCGAGAAGCGATCGTCAAAATCGTGAAGAACACCATCGTTCGGCTACTGCTAATGGTACTCTTCCATCGCAGAATGAATCAAATCCAAGTACGCCACGACGCCACACTAATGAACAAGGGTATGCTTAGAAAAATAACTCCGTAATAGTTGTACAACCGTATATGAGAATACAGTTCACCTTTCAATTTCACTTTTAAAGTAGGAAGACTGGAAAGCAAAAACGTCGTAGTCATAGTTCAGAAGAAGTAAACTATAAACATGTAAGCAACTATTCTGATAATCGTTCTCATTTACAAGTTGCAAGAGTTTTACGTGATGCTTCTTTTTTAAAATCCATTAATCAGAAACCTAACAAAGATGGAACAAATTATTCTAGCAAAAAAGAAAAGGAATATCCCATACAACGTAAAGTAAATTTGGATTTTGCCTCACATTTTCCACCTTTACCATCAGCCGTAGGAAGTAATACCGCTTCGGTAGGCAACATTGAATTTATGACAAATATTGCTGAATTTAGCGTTACAAGGTGTTTGTTCGAATTTTGTTTCTTAGCCACCAGTTCGGGAAGTAGACGATATCGATCACCCTAAGTTAGCTGATGTGGTTAAAGGTATTAAAGACGCGAAGGTAACTGTTTACTTTCTGTGTTCAATCCATATATAACATTTTGCCGTATAATATAACCGGTTGTCCTTTTTATTGAAATTAGAAAATGAATCAGCCAAATGCTAAAGAAGCATTGAGAGTATGCTTATCACCATTATCAGATATTTCTATTGCATAATGCAGTTAATTGTACTTTCATTAATTGCATTTATAGGATTCAGGCGCCAGTTCTACTAATGTAAATCGGAACAAACCTACGTCGCAAGTATCCTCCAAAAGGTATGCTTACATCTCATGTACTCCTATTGGTGCTGGCTACATTTAAGTAATTTTATCTGTAATTTCGTAGTAAACCGACTGTAAATGCCACAACTCAAAATCATGAATCCCAGGCAAAAGCAAGTACCAGTAAAGGCAGCGCTAAAAGCTTAGATTCTTCGGTAATAAATATTAATGTCTTAAATATAAGATTTTAATGCATTTTGTGCCAGCTTTTCTTACTAACATGATATTTGTACCTTTACCACGCAATTTACAGAAGCACGAAGAAAAGTCCACAAATCCAAAATTAAGCTATGCCGAAATGGCACAAAAATCAAATAAAAAAGCTTCAAAATCTGAAAGTACTGAAAGATAAAGGTTATTGGCTGGGATTCGACTACTTTATACTGTTTGTTCGAATAGGTCTAAAAATTGGTTGACAGTTAACCAATAATAAATGTTTGGTTAACCGAGAAGTTATTTATACGCTGGTATAAATGCGTGCTAAGCATGCTAAATCAGCCATAATTTTTATTGAAGCTTTAACAAGATTGTTAGGCTTATCCATACTTGTGAGGTTTGTACGACGTACTATTTTTCCAAAGTACTGCAGTATATAATGTAGAAATTAGACGACGTGGTAACAACGTACTATACAATGCACATTTATGCAATGATTATATACCACCTATGGACTGAAACGAAGTAACACCTGGTGAAATGATAATCCGACCAAGGGGTAGTTAATTTGAATTGGCTACGAGTAGCATTATTGTTCTAATTATTATTATTATGTAAGCTTTTGAGCATATTAATTATGGACTAATTTGCGCTGCGAATCATGTCAAAAGGGACAATTACTTATTAAAGCGCTGCCAGCTCTGTCAGACGCAACTATCTTATCGAGAAATAGTGAAGCGAATTGCACAGTTTATATCATCGTTTCGTATGGATGTACAGTACATATAGATAACGAAAAGTAAAAAATTTTTAGTTCGCTACATTGAATATTTACCGCTTTTGAAGTAGCGAAATTTTATAGTGCAAATTATTCCATTGCTTTACATTCTTGTAATCAATGTCTACCCATCGTTAGATGATTTCAATAACTAGTTATAGGTGCTAATTGAATTCATTATATTGAAATTTTGTTATTATGTGTGCATTAATTTGTGCTAGATCTTATACGATGAGTGGACTGAGTTTTAGCTGCATTTATAAATCAATTCTTCATTACTATCTCGACTTGAAATAGAATAGTGAATGATGATAATTTTAAATTTACTCATCTACACTAATTCTGTATTTTAATAGTTCTGCGGCTCTTACGCTAAGGTTATATACGTATCCATAGATGCTAAAATGTCGGTTTTAATTTTAATATATTTTGTAACCTACTCTAGTTATAAGTATGTACTCGTATAAGAGTAGATTTGAATACAATCCTCTATTTATAGTACAGTACTGTAACATGGTATTAATCACCGTATTCTATATGTAAATTTATGAAATGTGACGACAGAATATTAAAATCACAACTCACGTATGGACAGTATGGTATTCTCATGATAAATGTTGTATACGATTTTACGCAGGAAATCATGTATTGATAAGAAAAACGTTATTTTATGAATTGCTAATAATTTGCTGATTTTACTTCGCTTTAAGCCTCTTCGTCTTGTACCAACAACACCTTTTTTGTTACTTTCTTAATAAGCTTAATGCCTTGTTTTCGATTGCGTAGTTAGTACTACGGCTATGATGCAATAATTGCAAGTTTTGCCTGTACATAGTTGCAGATTATGGTTATAATCCTTACGAATTATCTATTCTCTATGGTCTTGATTGGCACAATAAAAGTTAACATTTTCAGTGAGTTTAATACATATTAATGCATATTTTGCAGGCATGTCAGGTATTAATATGTCATCTCAATAGACATGGGTAACGTTTGATATGATTAAAATATTTTTATTTAAAATTAAATGCAACATACTCGTATAAAGCACCTTCAGTTTGACGTTACATAAATTCCATGCAGTTCGATACATGAGATAAATGTATACTGTACTTAAAGATGAATTTTTATACAGACAATGATGTAAATCGCTTTGTTCTTTACGCCTACATGAGCACCATAGAAAAGTTTGTTGATATTTGATCAGTTCTCCAGCTTCCTCAGTACAGTTGTAACATTAAATTTAGCCTTGATTTTATTAGCCTGATACCACGACTAATTAAGGATTTCTTTCTGTGCTCCGTGCATGCGCAAACTAGAACGAAAAAAAAAAAAAACCTTTCTTATAGCCCATAATTGTAGTAATTTTGGTAAATTGACTATATAAAAACATCCTAATATCGATCGCAGTGGGCTACCTTCGCTGAAGGTTAAGCGCATTTAAATCTATACTGGCAACTGAAAAAGTTGTCAAGTTAAAACTCTTATTTCGGTTTCGACGCATGAAATGCAGTCCGGCCTGGATTTTTTCTACTCTTTGATTAATCAATTTCTTTAGTAGCATAACTAGTAATGGCGGAGAACTTGGCTTTCGATAAGTATTTTCCCTCTTGGGTTTTGATTTATACCATCATGCTTTCATAATTGTGTAGCCAAGTAAATTTTTGTTTGGTTATGAAGATGATTAATGCAGCAGCCAGTAGTAATGTAGTGTGGTATACGAGAGGAGTTATGATAATTCTGAAGTTACGGAGCACACCGTTAGTATTGAAAAGGCTCTAAAATTTCGTAAGAGCGATGGTAATTAGTTTAATGAATTATGGAGCATAAGTCGATACTGTAAATTCAGGAATGCCCAAATACTGATCTGAGCTTAGTGTATAATACAATAAAGGGATCTTACACCCTTTAGTTAAGCCAACGAATTAACTACAAATGACATGATGAAAATCTATTTAAGCTACTACTTCGAATGATAGCAGTTCAGTGTATTCTCAAAAGATTCGGATTTGGTTTAGGCTGATTAGAGAAACCTCTTTGATTGCTACACTTTAGAAAATACTGTTTCTATTGCTACTGCGTAATTTTTTTGTTAACTGTAAATAACTTTTTTGTTTCCCCACTCAATTCGGACCGTTATCATTATCTATGGATACTATTAGATAAGAGTATAAAGGCTTTCTTAGAAACTGTTAATAGCTCATTAAATAATGAATCAGAAAATAACTTTAACCAGCACTTTGATGTTATCAACGAGTTCGTAATTAAGGCAAATAAAGTGACATTAAAGTCCGGTAATAATGGAAGAGATAGGTTTCATAAAAGTGCCTTCTTAAATTCAAACGATTACACGATGACTAAAGATGACAAACTGCGATGTCGGTCAGCGATAGAGGTACACGTTGAAGGGTGTGATAATTGTAATTTGAGGAGGGCCACTAGGAAAATCTACATTAATTTCGATGACGTAATGTTAGAATAAGCAAGACACTGCAATAGCTACGATAGGGAAAGAAATATCTTTGTAAACATTACTTAGCAAAATTATCTATGAATAATCTAGTTCCTGTATCTAAGAATTGCTAGTCCAAAGATGAAATACCACCCTAAACCGATTCTAAAAATATTGACAGTATATTTAAAATGCGGAATCAATAATGGCAAATCTGTAAGTTAGAAAGAGGTGCAATGCAGAGCATGTTTGAAAGTATTGACAAGATTCTATGCAAAGAATCAATGATGAATTGATAAGTATTAATCAGAATGAGTTCTTTCCCTTTGAATTATAGAATTGTGTAGAGAATGGATTTTTGACCCCTAGGGTTTGCAATCCACTGAATCAAAGTTTGAGTTTTTAAAATAAAATAGAAGTATACGGTTTCATCATACCAGCCATCATCCTTAATCAATGACTATATTAAGCATAATCGACTATTTTATGTCACACAATGCTTACTTCAAATAGGTACTACTGAAAAGAAAGATTTAAAATTTAGTAGTCTCTGCTTCAAATCACAGTAGATTTTTCAACACGCATTACCCTTGTAATTAGCTGAAAATCACCACAGATTGCTTTATAATATGTTAGTCGAAAGGGATACGAACTTTCCTAAATTAGAGTCTACGATCCCGGCGATTGTATAAAAGTAAAAAAGTACATTTTGTCTAACTAATAATTCTCTAGTAAATTAACATTCTTGTCGCTTCTGTATTACAAGATAGGATAAAATGTTGGCTTAGAGCTAATCACAAGACTATAGGGATAACATCTTACAAAAACACGCCATTACTAGATATCTTTCAAGAAATTCATTTATTTCATTAATCTATTAATCGCTTGGAATAGTTCTATGCCTTAGTATCTAGAATGGCATTAATATCGTGATTGCAACGTCAAATTAGATCAAAAGAAATATCGTAGTGTATCAATAGCAATCTTTGAGAATCTAAATAGGCCGATAAACCGGAATATAATAGCTCAGACATTACAAGACTTGATTTATTATTGTCGGCATTACTATTTCGTTAACGGCATGATGAAAGAAATCTTCAAGATTAAACTTAACACCTTTTCTAACGCATTGTTGTTGCTACATCCGCCTATTAACTGATTATGTATAACTTTCGAGCAGCCATTATTAACTAATTCAATTTAGATGTTGAGGTTAAGTTATATTTTAACACATCAATCACAAAATCTAAATCAAAATTACAGCTATTGATTTAAATGATTAATGGAATGGTCACTATGACAATGAGTAAATTGAAATGTTATTTAAACATCTGTCAGTCGTTTTTATCTATTGATAATATATTATTATCACGATCACGTCGAATCAGCTATTAATTTATGTTATTAAATCACATCAATGCATGTTGTTTGATTAATTTGATTTATAGTCCTTAATGATATGCAAAGTTGTCATAATTAAAATTTCTTTCTAACTGCAAGGCATCTGTACTTCCTATTGATAGCCTACCACATCAACAAGAACCATAGGATTATTCATATTTATTTATCTACCTGCATTATTTTAATCGTATCACTAGATGATATGCCCGAATAAGGAAAAGGGAGAAAGAAGTTAGTAATAAATTATCCATGGGTTAGCAATTAATGCAACAAAAAAGTTTCTGCTACTCTTCTTAACTTAATATCAAAATAATTCGCTTGAAAAATTAGAAAAAGATATTGCTAGACAATGCAGTAATGGATCCTAAAAATTAGTCAATTACTTGAGTGGATTACTTAGTTGTATGATAAGATATAAATAATCCCAAAGATAAGAACATGTTGTTAATAAATAGAAAATTGTTTGATTATTACTAACGGTACATCAATTAGCTAACTTACCTTGACTTGATGTTCCATTCAATCTATAGGTTCTACTGATTTCAGTTATCTTTAAATACATAAATAAACACTTATTCAACTTTACTAAACAATAAGTTGAAATAATCAATAGATTTGATCGGAGTATAATAATTTATTGTTTACTTTTTTATAGCCAATCTGAAGCAAGAAATGGCTATTTAGCCACCACCTTCTTCGTTATCAATTGCAATTTGATGAGTTGTACGTTCCTTGTAGCTTTGACGATAGTAATTAATACAAGGCTAATTGGCGTTATAACAATTGCTTTTGTAAGTGTTTAATTATAACAAACTATTCTGAGGTTAGCTACAAAACACCGTTGTTAGCGTTGATTGATAATCGCATCTAAAGACCACATCAACAGTGAGGTATGGTTATCATTATGACATCTTAAGCGCTGAAAAAGTATCGCTATTAATTAACTTACTTTAAATTATTCATGAAGTGTGCTCAACGTCTTGAATATAGTGCAACAGGTTTCCATTGGGGTGGATTATCATCCGAAAGTGCAGTCACGAAAATTTTTTATTAAAAACTCAATCATTGGTTAACAAACACCAGTGATATTTTATCTAGTTAAGTAGATCAAATTAGTAATTAAAATCGCTTATCTAATTGCTAACAACGATCAAGGCAAGAACTTGTAAAAGGAAAGCTATGCTATAATTGCATGTCGCGTATTTATGTCTAGGTTTGTAATCATGAAAATCAGCCTCTTTCCTCTGTTGTTAGCATTTATTACCTCGAATCTATTATTTTTAAACGGTTATCTTACTTAATCTATACTTCGTTTGTTTCTATATTTTAACCAATGCTAAATATTGATTTGTTTATACTAAAGGAGTCTATACAAAAAAAAAAAAATTTTTAACGATAGTAAAGTGTATATAACAAGTTAATCGTATTCGATATATAAGATTACTTTCGATCATAATCTAACTATTAATAATTAAGATATATCATTGATAAATGGTTATTAATAACGTCAACAGAGAAAGTTATATAGTATAATGGGCAATAAAGTCAGCAGTAGTCACCGCAAGTATAAAAGTCAAGACGTATTCGACGCCCACGGTGGCGGTATTAACGCCATGGAATTGAATTACAATCATAAATATTTAGTCACAGCATCGGAGGATCGAACAGTTCGTGTCTGGTCAACTTTAACTGCCGATTTACATTTAATCTTGGAAGGCCATGAGCATTATGTTAGTTGCATTTACTTACACGGCAATTATATCTTAACTGGTTCAGCCGATTCATTAATACACAAATGGAATATCGATACTGGTGAATGCGTTACAACTTTCGTTGGCCATGCTGCCTTAATTAACGAAATTATATGTTGGAATGATTGGATATTTTCTACCTCTTACGATAGCACTATACGTTGCTGGCATTTTATAGATGGCTCGTGTGAATTTGTTCTGCAAGGCCATACGAGAAGTGTTGATCCTATTGTTATAGTCCCAAATATAGTAATAGATTCCCGTAGCCTTGATCTATTGGCTACTCGTATGCTTATTACTGGATCGGCGGATAAAACTGCTAAATTATGGGATTTACAGGCAGCCCAAGAAGTCGTTACCTATCAAGGTCATAAAGCAGCAATAATTTGCTTAACTGTAGATCATAATAACAAGTACTTGTATACTGGCTCATCGGATGCTACATTACGATCTTGGGAAATATATACGGGACAACCAATTAGCGTTTTCAAAGGGCACGTTGCATCCATTACATGTGTCAAGGTAAAATTAAATATCCATCATTAAAATAATAAGTATTGAAATATGGTAAGGTGTATAGAGTAGATTGATCGTTGACGGTTTCTGAATATATCTAGTAAAATCTACTTCTTGTAAATAGAGGTAACATTGATAGGAGCCTATTATTGCGTTTATTTTTAAAATTTTTAATTAATAATTATGTTGCTATATAGATGATAAACAACTTTCTATTTACTGGTAGCGCTGATCATACAACTCGATGCTGGCTAAGCAACACTGGATCTTGCCATAAAGTCTATAATGGACATTCACACAAAATTTCATGCCTTGATGTAGATAGGAATATTCGTAAGTTTCGATACGATAATTTCACAGCTTCAGATAGAAACATTTAAAATACTCGATGTGATCCTGTGAATTAAAATCAGTATTTATATAGCAAATCGTTCTATATATTATAACGTTCTTTGACCGAAAAATTTACGAAAAATTTTATAAATTCTTTTATTTAATGAACTGCACAAAATTTATCAGTTCTCACTAATAGCTAATAACAATTGATATTTTAAACTATTATATTCATTACCGCATGACTTTTAAGCTAGCATCATCATCAACGAATAAATCAATTAATTCACGTAGTGTTACTATAACGGAATTAAACAAAAGAAAACTAGAACTTGATATATGATTATAATCATCTATTTACGTGTATAAAGTTTCTTTTTCACAATTCAAATTTCTAAAATATTTCATTTGCTGCTATTATTTGCTACTTAAGTCTTCACTGGTTCTGCCGATAATACCATTCGTGCTTATGATATTGATTCCGGACGAGTTATTGGCATATTAAAAGGACATTTATATGCCGTAAAATGTCTTAAGGTAAATTATAATATTACCTAACTAAACTAACGACATGCTAAAACACAAAGATATGTAGCAATTATTTATTGCGGCTGATGTTGGACATCAAATTTGATTCATTATCTTCTTAGTATGCCTTAAAAAAGAAACAGGAGTAAGGAAATATTATTAGTATTATTAGTATTAGCATTACTATTATTGGTATTATTAATTGTGAGGTAACGTTAAACTAAAAAATAAAGCTTTAGCAGTATATTTCGAAAATTCATAATAATTCATCATTATCATATGATTTCTAAGGCTCTCATCAATAATTTGAGGCAAAGTTACCATACCTCGATCGTTTATTTAAGGCATTTGAAATAGCTCTAGGAATGTTCCAAGTATGTTTCTAATACATATTCATAATACTATTTTCTGATTGTATAGATCTATAACAATACTTTATACAGTGCATCTGAGGATGGAAGTATACGATCTTGGAATATTCGAAAATTAAATTGTTATCGATAACTATAACCTTGATAGCTGCAAAACTATTATCATTATTTTTGCAAGATTAAATTCACATAAAAAAACCTTCCTCAATTAATGGTGTAGGAATTGATTAAAGAGTTCATTTAAATATTTCTGACTGAGATTATTTAATATATTTATTAAGGACTGAAAACACAATTCATCCGACTTTAATCATAATCATTTAATTATTTATGCAGGTTATAAACCTTTTTCAATGATGTTAGTTGCATAGCGCTAATGAATAATTGATGTAATACCGATATCAGAAGTTGTAATAATATACTATTTCAATATAGATACCGTAGCATAGCAAATAATTGAATGCCATTTAAAATAACATTAAGATTTTGATTGCACAATTTATAATATTATAGACTACGCTAGTAGTCTATGATTCATTCTATTATAATTGCCCAAATGAAAAAGATATTTATAAGCAGAAATATATTTAGATATCTATCTTCAGGCAGATCATTTTGTAAACTCATAATGAGCTTGTAATGACTAGTTTACTTGTTTTAATGGCATCATTTAATTAAAATAAAATGATATTTTTTTAGATGTAGGTACAATATCCGTTCTATCCATGCTGATTTCGATTTTTATTAGCTTACGTATACAGATTAATAGCTACGGTACTAATGCATTCATATTTTCAAGTTGTAATGATATACCCTAAATAAAATCAAAATGACTCATATTTTTATAAAGCTATTATTAGTCTTAAATTCTACCTTGCAGCTTCGATTACTATTCAAGTCATGCATAGCATGAATATATTGTTTATTATGCATTACTTATTCAAATATATCATAAAATTAGAAGTCCTTAATGATAATTCACTGCTAGTTGTACTGAATTCGTGAGTAATTAGTTATCCAAAAACTAGCTTCAAAATCTATATATTGGTAGAACTTTCTATCGATATGTAGATCAAATATGATATGTTACCGTACTATTTTATTTTCAAAATCGAATTCTTTTAGTCTTCATTCAATTACGGGGTTAAAATTTGTACTGCAAAAGTTATCTGTTCATAGGTACCAAGAGCGAGTTCATTGAAGATTAATTAATAGAAAGTCACATAATAAAATTTATTCTTTTAAATTTGTCATAAAGAGGAAGCAAAATATGTTAAAATATAAATATTCATCTAAAAATATCGCATCTTCAACATATGCCTCAACACATATGCCTTATTCATCAGTAATCTAGGATTACTTCGAAAAAATCGGTTGTTTGACAAAATAAATTCGCTAGTGAAAAAACACTGCAAGTGTTTGAATACGTTATAAACAGTTCCAACACAAATATAAACAGCACGAATAGAGTGAGGCAAGAATGAAATCATTTCAAATAATAAGCTTTCGATACTACGGGATATTATAAATTAAAAAACTTGATATAGCAATCTGCATTATTTGTTTAAAGAATTTTTAGTGTATCTCATATTTCAAAGTTAACTTTACATTATGAAAACAGCCTTCGCTGATCGAATAAAAATATAACAGGGACAGCAAGCAAAACTTACTAACAAAAAATTTTACTTTTAAGGCAATTTTGAACTTGTGAAGCTATATCGCCTTTAAAATTATGCTGTAACTTGGATATAAAAAATGAGTATTATACATATAGAAAAAATTTAAGTTTTACCGGATTAAAACAGAGTTATTGGTAATAAATTCATTCAGAATGAAACTAATTCTAGCTGACACTTTAACATCCATGATATGAATGAATGAATAAGAAACCATCATGAAATGCTACATAAAGCCGATTTTACCAGCTCATTTAAAAGAATGATAAGTTTTCTAGGCTAAACAATGTAAGCTATAAATATCTACTCTAATTGCTGAAAACAATTTCTATCGTGTAGAAAATTTTAGTGATTAATCATTATATATAGCTAAAGCATGATCGTGGTAGGATATATTCATTTATGCGATTGGAAAGCCATCTAATAGAAATCTATTCTAGATAATTAAGCTCTATATAATCTGCATTTACTATTTAGATATCAAAAAAAGTCTGTAATGAAGGAACAATTTCCAATTTCTATCTATAACTTGAACGATCTCTTATTTCGATTGAGTAATAGCTGAACTGAGGCATTGCTAACATAAGATCTCGGATTGCCTTTAATTTCTTATAAACTATTATGGACGTATTGGTACTATCGGTCTACTGGAATATCAGTATTTAAATATTACGCATGTAGCCATCATCATGGCTATCACGAACTATCTGGTTTTAAAACCGAAACTTGCAGTGACGGTCTACGTGCTTTTCTCCTTAAAGTAGCAGGTATAGGAGAACCTGCAGACTGTATATTTCTTGCTCCGGTTGATGACGATTTCAATGGACTATCATAGCTAGCCGCAGTTTCTGATCTATAGGGTGCGTCGCTATCACTGTCCTCACTTAGAGCAATCGATTCTTGAAGTTTCGACGTTGATTTCATTTTTGCTTTAAAAACAGAGATCTGCTGTTCTAATGGAGTAACTGGCATACTACTGCGTCTTCTGCGTGACTGTTTAGCTGCTTTTGCTACACTAGGGTCTTTTTTCGTGTCTTGGCTAACCAGACTAAGAGCGGCCTTATTTCTGGCATGGATAACAGCCTAAGATAGAAAAAATATCAGTAATAGTTTATCAAAGATTTGCCATTTAGTAAATTATCCATCTGCAGTATAATATAGCGATTCTCAAACTATTAAACACACATTTTAATTTTACTATTTCTTAAATCTAAACCCATCGCTTTTGCAATTTAGACTCTATCTACAGAATTTATTGTCAACAACCTGCCTTTAATAACTCAAATTTTAGCAATTACGCCAGTACTATAGTATATGAAAAATAACTATTGATGTGCTCTGAATATGTTTAAATTGTGTCAGTAGGATTGAAATTTAGATTATTTCCTACATTTAAAACATAACTATCTAAAATGCGGTGGACATGAGGCAAATTATTCTTTAGCATTTTTAAAAACTAGTTTGCGTTTAGCAACATCTAACATAACTTACAACATCCCTACCAAATAATTGATTAATTGTATTTACCTGCAGAGTTTTTCGAGCATAACTTCGACTTGTTTCCTATAAATATTTTTACGAAATAAATAAATTACTTTTAAATTTCTAGACGATACATTTCAATAAAGTACTATGATACTGAAGGATTGATCAAGATATCGCGATAATCATTAACCTGCTTCTGTTCACTATCGGTTTTAAGACGAACTAATTCATCGCACTTTTCCATCAAACGTTTTCTGAAATCGAAATAACAACATGATTAATCCTTTAGCTAAGCAATCGATTTCTAGAGTAAAACTACGATAGTAGTAATTTGCGAGATATAAATCGATAAATCGTATATCTAAATTCGCGATATGTATTCTTAATTACCGAACTAAGGTATTGTCGGCCATTAACGTGTGAATCTTCTGTTTAAATTTCTCTTCAACCTCAATCACCTAAAGATAGGAATATAAAGTATTATTAAAATATCTATAAGGCCATAACGAAATACTTTTACTTCGATGGAGTATCGTAGCCGGTGAAACTCTGCTAAGAAGATAAGCTACTATAAATTTTCTTCTGAGACAAATTGTTTTTGGTTAAAGATTTATGATCGCACTTTTTTCGAAAAGTCTTTCAGTTTATACTTAACTATGATATCCTTGCATGGGAAGTTTATTTAATAAGACAGTAATTTATGAGATTACTATTGAAAGTTATAGCATTAATGGAGATGTGTAGTAAAGCTACTCGATTAATGTAAGAGGGCTATGAGTTAAGTATGACTTCAAAAGCGATAAAGAATCTGTTCAAAGACTTCGAATTTTCATAACTGTCAAAACAGACCTTTTCTTGAAAATTATCTTCGTAGCCTTTTAACTTAGTCCTCTATTAATAGAATATGAAAAGTTCGATTTGACATTGTAGTTATATGTTAGATTTTCTATGAAGAGATTGAACTTTTATAAAATAATTTCTACGTATCTCTTTCCCTTTCCTATACTTACCGATTCAACTACTTGACTTCGTAGCTTAAAAATTTGATCCTCAGCTTCCCGTAATTTACTATGTAATTTGAGGCCTTCATTTTCAGTATCCTTTATAAAACAAGAGATTTAAATTTCTTGTAGCATACGTTGTTACACCATGACGTTTTCTATAATGCTAATCCATGCTATTTTAAGCTACAATTCTATATATAAATTGGATGGATATGTAAAGCCAAACTCCTTACTACTATCAACGTTTAATAAAACTTGCCTCCAGTTTTAACTTTGTGGTTCGCAGTTCTTCCATAACAGCGGTTGCTTTTGCAAACTTTCGAAAAAGTGCCTGTATACCATTTGAAAACGGAACAAAATTAAAAACAAGCCGTTAAGAATAAGAAGTTGTCTATGGTATGGTAAAACTAGTAACTACCGGTATGCAATAATTAACCAATAATTACCTCTAATTCAGCCTTATGATCATGGCGAACTGCTTCTAACTCCATTTTACCCTGTCTAGCTAAAGTTGCTAGCTCAGTTCGTTTCTCTTTTGTCAGTTCTTCCTCTATAGGGTTATAGTAAAATTATTAAACTACCGTATTAAATTATATGATTCTTAATTGAGATTTGAAGACTGTATAAAAGCGATTTAGGGACGACATCCTTGGCATTATGAACTTGCTGGTTATAGTTTTATGATTAAAAATTTACTTTGTCTGGCCAGTTCTCGTTCCACTGTTTGCCGTTCATGCTGTTTTAATTCAATCTATTAAAAGTAGATATTAAAAGCGAATGAATTTAGCACCGGTAAACTATACTTTTGATATCAGTCAATAAAGGGACTGTCAGGTCATTATTATCCGATTTCCTAAATCAAATATAATAAATGCATTTAAAAATCTAATAGTACCTCTCTCTTTGTCCACTTCTCATCCATTTCTATCGATATTTGTGTCTAATTAAAAATTCACAATCCGATTGTTAAACTACGACCCTTTTGCTATGGATTATAGAATTATACTTTAGCAAGAAATAATTAGCTACTGACTTGTACTCGTATTTATGACATTTTATTCTAATTTACCTTGTAGCTGTCAAAAGCAGCTTGCAGGAATTGCCGTTCACTTTTAATACTTTCTAAAAGTTATAAAACAAAGGTAATTTGTAAACACAAATCGGTGTTATTCGATCTCTGTTGGCATTAATTACCGCATCGTCTCATAGCTACAAGGTAAAATAATTATTGGCTGATACAGAGTTTTTATGACGAATTAATAAATTATATAGCGACTTCTAGATTAATTATATATTATCGTAGAAATGTAAAGATTACGTAGTATAGAAGGTGTGAGAAAGACAACCCGACAAATAATCACCTTTATACATAGACTTTATTTTTGTCGTATAAGACGTCTACAGATACAGTATTTCTTGTATCGATATAAATTTTACACTTACCAATTTCTTCTTTTAGAGTTTTCTCTAAATCGTCCATCTGAAATTAAAGAAATACATTTAATCTCATCCTAATGATTCGGAATAACATAGTCTTATGATTTCATATTTCAAACTATATCGTCATTCTGCACAGTGGTTATCAATGTACTTATACTTTTTAAAATATATCTGACCTCTTTAATATGCTGTTCTTGTACTGTTTGTAAAGTTTTTTCCGACTGTAGCTTTAAAACTCTAAGAAAAATAGAATAAAACATAAGTATGTTAAGTATGATGAAAAAATAAAATTCGTTTCATATAGCTATTCAAAACCATAGCATATCAGGATACTTATTATTAAGGGGCAATTTAAATGGTGAAAATATAGTATGTAAAACTACTAATTGAAAAATCATTTATTAGTTAATATAGTTGTAATTAGGGTTAATCTTCGTACAGAATGTCGTCCTCATGTTCTAATTTTAATTTCGATTTAACTTCATCAAGTCGTAATTGTGCCTAAATATAATTAATCAGAGCAAAATTTAGATATACTGATTCAAAGTGCTGGACAATTACAATAAACTATAGTGATCGCTGTATTTCGCAAGTCCAGATATTTACTTACTTCTTCTAATTGAACATCTCTTGTTCTTCTTTCTTGCTCCAATAGTAGATTGAGCTCTGAAACTTGCTCTTGTAACTCAATCATTAACTTTTCACTAAGAAATTATTAAGGAAATAATTAATTTATTACGTTACTCCTCTCATTATCGATTTTAGTACTACTAGCAACGGCTTAACTGTTGTGTATATTTAATTGTAAGATAATTATCGTATTCTTTTACATAAAAAAGTTGTTGCTAAAACTATACTTAGCTAAAGTTGCGACTTACTTTTCGATAAAGGAGACATGCGAAGTATACTGACGAGCAGATGTCACAGGACTGGATTTACGTTCCTCCTTTCGATCAGTTACCGGTATATCAGTTGGAGAATCACGATCATCTTTTAAATCTGAACTATTATAGAAATATTTGGGTTGTGCTGACAATGATCTGAACGACTGAAAGAAAGGAGAAGAGAGTGAAGGTTTGGCTTATGATAGAAAATAAGAATAGATCCGGATGTAAAATAACTTGGTCCAAGGCAATTGCAGATTAGCAATCTTCAACTTTTATCTTAGTTACATGGAAAATGTAAAAGTTTTATTCCCCTATAGATTACCTTGCGCTCTTGTGGTTCAGATTTACCAAAAAATTTATTAGAATCAATAGTAAATTTCCAATATCTATCTTCTTTCGATAAAGTGTAGCCTTTTCCAATAACAGTCTAATTAAAATAATAAATTTAGTTAAAAATAGTTAACGCACGTAAAATTTTTAATTTAGAATTTTGCATCGTTGTTTGGTTTAAAATTTTTCAGGATAAGCTAACATTAGAAGAATCGGTAGGCTCACAACCTTGTTAAATTGTGGATAATTTATCTGGCGTTTTCGGGGATATGTAGATGATAATGGTCTTCGTACGGGTGATTCAGCAAAGCGGCGACACCTTAGTTTGATGGTGCAATGTGATCTAAGTTAATTTCTAACTACTTTATTTACAGATAATTCAGTGGAAATAGTTCACTTACTGCGCTTTTGCTGTATGAGGTCTAGACGGAATAGTAATCGTCTGATCTTCGCCAAAAGTAACTCGTGAAGAAGCTGTTGATGGCCTAAATTATTTAAATTCAAGCAGAACGATTAAATAATTTTGACAAAGAGTCTATGATAAATTAAAAGTCTACATACACTTATTCAGAATTTGAAGCTTAATAAGCTGTCATAAGTAAATTGATTAAGAAACATGTTGCAGTTTTTAGTAATGTAGCTACCGTTATTATCAAGCTTAGTTAATAAAGATTTCATTACGGTGCTGAAAGTAACACAGTGCATCATTTACGGTAAACAACTAGACCTAAGGACGGCCTTCCTTATCGTCCATTAGTAAATTACGCACTGATACCTAACAGTATAATTCGCTTACCTTGCTCTACCCTTATCCGAGGAATTAAGTAAAATTGATTTACTTATAATCGGTGACTTGCTGCCCATACCCGAAATAGACAAGACTTGAGGGGGTTCAACGACCACGTTAGACGCCATCTTTTAATTTGCCTTTCTAATATTTTATTTCAGTGAAATAAAATGGCAATATTTATGCTGTGTAGTTATACTAAGAATTATCAGTTGCTGGTATTAGAAATAGTAAGGGCTTGATCTTATCTGGATCTAAGCTCTTTAACGCAGGTAAAAAGTTATTCGATCATCAGGTCCGACGGTTTGCAGCGCACCTAAATGAATTAATTCATGACATTAATACAGCTTAAACTTATTTATTAAATTCAGATCACTGTTACATCACAAGCTATTAGTACAGTACAACTAAAGGAAAAATTAATTACCTCAACATAACTTTATCATATTTAGATTATAAATAATTTAGCGGCTTTTATTTCTGTGTGTGTATAGTTACTACAGAGCAAGAAACTATCCAATAGTGACCATCTTGCAGAAAGATATTTTCTTATTCTCATGTACTTGTTTAGCATAGAAGCCTTAGTAAATTCATACTATGCTATATAATCAATTCGTCAATTATAAACCACTACACTAGTGATAGAAAGGATGTATTGTTCATAGACTCTTTATGGTCAGCTATATAATAACGGCAACATTGACAGTAAACAGCTTTAATTCGGATTCAGTTGCTATAGCAACGAAGTGCTGTAGGTCATGATAGCCAATTAATCCAATCGTATAGTTTATACTATAGACTTGCTATCGAATCTCTGTTGTCCTTATATTAATACACTACTATAGCAAGCGCCATTACTGACGTAACGGAATATATTAACTTGCAGAAGTGACTATTTCTTTTAGCAATAATCAGCTAGATAGCAGATACGGTTTGGAAAGTAGTCTCACATAGATATTTTTCGTAATTATCTTTGATTCTATTCAATATTAATGCACTACTAAAGTACCGGCATCATTTCTGACGTCGCTGAATATATTAGCTTACAGAAGTGATTACTTCTTTAGCCGTAAAGAGCTTGATGACAAATACTCGATATTCATGATCGAAATTTTAATCATTTAGTTGTAGAGCCATCTAATTTAATATCCCTGTAGAGTCAGAACATGACGCTTAATTTTAAGTAAAATTGAAATTATTGACCTTGAATGAGTGCTGCTCTTTAATAAGTTTAACACACGCCATACTAGGCGATGAGATAACATAGATACTAAACTGCAGGTCAGAATGGATGCTAACATCATTATGATTTGGAAAGTAGTCTCATATAGGTATATTTCATGACAATCTATGATTCTATTTAGACCATGATAGAATTTACAATCGAGATTTATTTATTCTTCAAAAATACAGATGATAACCAATAGCTAGCTTAGGATAAGAAAACTTCTTAAATTAGAGCAAATATTTTAACGTTACTGTTCATTTCTCGATTATAAACTAGTATAGAACTAAATGATCGATAACCGAAGCCAACTACTCAGTGTATAGCAATGACTTAGCGAAGATAGTAAATTTAAAAATAGTCTGATAGCAACCTTATGGCAGGATTGCATTTACCTACATTATCTCAGTTTTCATCTTCCATATGATCAAAGAGTATACCTACTAGGACACTGTGATGTATTCCAATACGTAAGATATTTAAATTGTGACATGTGTATACTGAGATTTTACTAAAAGAGCTAAATTTTCAGCTGTAACATCACATTAGTTCCCTAAAACGAATTTCTTCAATGTGAAGAGATTGCACCTTTCCGCTGTGGCTGTGTTGTTGTATATTTCAGTACCAGGAATATAACAGCAGGATATTTGCACATTCATAACTATTTTAGTATGGATAAATAATATTACACTCTTACAAAAGTAAAAATGCCACGCCTTTATTTATGCCGGATTAAATTTTATGAAATAGGTGTCATAAGCCCTGTTTTGCGTTGCCGTTACATTGAGTAAAATATTTAAGAGGTGATTATAATACCTCAGCAAGTAACAGTATTGGTAATCTGCATTTAAAATCAAGTAATGGATTTGCATTAAATTACCGAAGTAATAGAAAATCATTAATAGACACGAAGGCCAAAAGCTAATAGTAGTGATCGAATTACAGTATGTCTACCTCATGAAATTGTAATTATATACTCGTACAGCGAACAGTTGTAAGTTTTTGGCGAGCTCCATAAACATTGCTCGTAGTCGGTATTCAACGCAAAACCCCATAGCTGATTATTTAATTCGGCGGTATATCTGAAATTGAAATTTTCAAGTAATATAAGTCATTAATGAAGCCGGTTGCTATTCTGTCAAGAGAGCTGAGCAACTGCAATGTGAATAGGTAATCATTCCATTTGGATCCGCAACTGCAATTCTGAACCTTCGGAGAGCATCAATAGGCGTGTATAACATACAATAGACCCTTTCTTGGCAGAACTTTATGAAATATTGCAATTGGCTATGGCTTAAATTCCCGTATAGTTGTAATCTACTAAATTTATTAGCACGATTATTGGTATGAGTAACTACAATGCATGAGATATCATCGACATTGTTAATACTACCCTAACTCTAGAATATTAAAGCTACAATAGCGAGCATGTCAAGTTCAACGTTACGTCTTACTCTGTATTTGAATTTTCTGATTGAAAACAGTTACTAACTTAAATGTATCTATAATCTAAATTAGATGCTACTGTATAGATAAATAATATTAGCAATTTATTATGTTATGAACTCAATCCTTTATTGATATAGAAGGTGGCAACAACTTAATTAACTTCTTGTAAGGGAATGATGACATCATCTAATTACATATTTGTCATATCAATAAGTGAGAATTATAATGCGTAATGTGATTGATTTGTAACATTACAATCATAGTGCCTTTCATTGCAAAACTTATTCTATGATATGGATAGAATTATTTTCCATAACATATTAATAATCTCAGAAACGAATGTCAAGAACAGTAATAAAACATGTGATATTGACATTATTAAATTAGCTCATTTATACTGCACCAAACTCCAACACAATTTATTCGGCATTGCATGCTATTACTGATTGCCTAAATTAATATTTCAAAGGTTGTCATCATTTAGCCCATTATGGGCTATGAATATCGGATTTAAATATGACTCGTATAATTAATGTATTTTACTGATACATTAATTTACATATATTATTTATTATTAGTGATTATTTGCACTACACCTTGTTAAATTAGCCTACAGTTACCCTATTTGTCCATCTTCAGCTTTAACATATGTACCATGTGCATGTTCAACTGTGCAGTAGCAAATTAATGTTGTATTTATTATTCTTAATGTATTGCTTTAAATTCTGTTTCATTCGATATCCTTCTAAATAATCTTAGGAGAAAGCATAAGAAGTTAGCAGCTAACGATTTTGATATTTTAATTTGACAAAATTTTCGTTAATCTTTTGTATTTAATATCTGAAGAATAGGGATGTAGTTTGTTTTTGCCCATATACTACTCCCTTGTATAGGATGTGCCGTAGTTGAGTATGCCGAAAAAGAAGTATAAGTGAGAGATCATTCGTTTATAACAGTTTAATTCCATCTGTTTATGGATTATATATAATTACGCCGAACGTTGTATTTATTTCAAGATTTCCGTATTGGGACTTAAGAGGGCGCCAGTAGGGTTTAAAAACACTGATGTAATTATGTCCACCCCAGTTTTGCAAGTGAAAATTTCAGTGTATTGACAATAAAATTTCAAGCCAATAATTCCAAATCGACCTCTAGATCAATTTACCATGCTCTATAGTGTAAGTATTAAAAGGCGATAATTAATATGAAGCGTAGGCAGGAGTGTACAATACGATAGCTTAATAGAGTAATTAAAATAATTGCCAAGCACATCTAATTGGTTAGAGGCAATATCATAAAGCGAATAATAACATAACTACTGTTTTGAAATCAAAATTAAGTCAATAATTTAAGAGACCTTAATATTAATAATATTATAATCCATATGTTACATTAAGTATAAAGTCAGTCTTTAATGATATACATTAAAAGAGATGATCTTGCTACATTCAGAGAAACACCTTTTTATTTAAGTAACCTTTGATTTAATTGCTTCTGATACAACGCTTTGTGGGATGAAACGATATGATGGATGAACAATACTTCAGATAATGATGCTTTTATTTTTGATAGAAAAATAAACATTGACTAATGGATTGAATAACATTGATGCTGGGTTAATCATAATAATCAATATACGTAGTAATGAACCGATGCTTAAACCTAACTTATACTGGCTTTGTGTTACTAACCCAGCATTTCATGTAAGGAATTATAGAAATAATTCAAAGCAAACATCTAACATAAATGTGAAGAATAGAGATACAATGTTTTGCTTGTATAAATGAGAAGCCACAAACTCGGAATACAAATTGATTTTATTGACGGAACTATTTAAAAATACTGTTCAGTGGCGTTTTGAACCCTTCATATCCAAATTCCTATTGACATTGTACTGTACTAAGCAACGCTTTAATGAACGTTACAAATATTAATCATCTTTTCGCAAATTTAGACCGGTTTAATTCCTTAAAGTTAAGGCAAGATACAATAATTCCGATCGTATTATATTACCGTCAATTTAAATTTAATGAGTAGTAATTCTATCGATTTATAATTGCAAAATGATGTTCTAATAAGAAGCTCTATATGTATGAAAAAATTTAAGACGGTGTTTCTTCTCTAATTGCTGCAGCCTATTCCTCGACTAAAGAAGTTATGCATCTAATTGTTGATCTGTTAGTAACAATTAATAAATCTTATAAGACTGGATATATACAGTTCTTGATTATATAGTTAATTACTGTTCATAGCCAAAATAAATGAGCATAAGCATATATGCTAGTGTACGTATTTTCAAGAAGCAGATCGCAGCTTTATCATTCTGCTGAAAAGGATCAACACCTCTATTATTTAACTATCTATAAATTGTCAATTGAATGATTAAAATGATCGATAATCAAAGCTTTCAAGCAAAAATTTCACTTTATCATAAATTTTTTATATACCTCAGAG